CTGCTACCTACAGTCTACTGGGAACTTGTGGTCAGGCACAAGGGTACATGGATGCTTCTATTATATAATGGGATTTCTCGGCACTTCTGCCAGTGGTTGTAAGACTTATCCACTCACCTCCACCGTTACGCGGTGCATCTGCCGCTAGGGTTTACCGGGTGTTAGCGGCCGTGGTGAGTTCCCTTCGGGAACGGACTCGATAATTTACTTTGTTTTGTTTTGTTTTCTTACACGTAGCTGTATGTGCAATGTGCCATTGATTGCGTTTCCCACTTGCAAACACTTAGAGTAGGTTTTGCTCTCTCATTTCTCTTGTATGTTGCAAGTACTTCCTCCGCGTTATTAAAATTGTCGCTTCGCACATCGCAATATTTGAGACTTGGCTCGTCTTAGTCAGACTGTCGGAATCGCTGTTTTCTTGTGTGTTCGAACACTGGTGCGACCCTTCCTGCGCAATGTCTACTTGTCACTGAAGCCGTGGTGGTCTCAGACTTTGTCGGAGCTCTCTTCCGCACGAAGCAAATTCATCGCGCTCCGCACTATTCCGCCCCAGAGCGCATTTCGTTTTCTGGAGTTCGTGCCGTCCCACATCGTTCGCGTGGGCATGTATCAAGACTGCAAGTTCAGGTATAAGAATCCTGGTATCTCTCCTGAATACGAAATGCTGAAGTTGACGATGGCAAGAACAAAGCGGTCTCAAATTCCTAAAATGCGCTACTTGTGGCGCATGTTGCTGTGAAGGTAGGTCTGAAAACACCAACAAAATCAGCAAAGCGCTTGCCCAGGAAAGAAGGTGCGAAACTGCTTACCCTATCCCGCTGAAAGGTCGTTACAGTGTACTTGAAAAATGCTAGCTTGCCTTCATCGCCTGCCACCTGTAGGCATGGATCACTTGAAAACGAAGTTTCTTGACCTGAATTTGACCGCGCATCTTGTTCAGCGTATTGTTGAGTGCTGAAGGGTCTGCCTCAAACTCTGATGAAGACGTCGACCTTAGCTGCAAGTGCAGCAAAGCGGGGGGCCACTAACTAAAGCTTGGTCCGTCGACAATGCTCTGCCTCAATTTCTAGCTGATTTCTTTGCCCTTCGAGTGGACAAAATGTATTCGAAAAATCGCTCTTGGAAGCGACAATTTTGATGACGCGGAGGAAGTACTTCATGTGCACTAAGTCATGACTCGCATATAAACTGGAGTGCAAGGTGATTTTGACCCTGTGCAACTGTCCACTAGAAATTTGCTTTCAGTTTTTATCATCCCGGTTCTGCTTTGTCCTTGAAGGGTGGTAGCGTTCCTACGGATGCGGAAAGCTAGGCCTCTAGCTGAGTCTCACCCGATCCATGGAATTTTTATTTTCTTGCTTTGGTCTTGCTCAGAAAAACGGCAAGCGGCATTGACTGAAATCGACCACTTGGTGTCCAACACTATCATCATTGATGACACGAAGGACTGTGCAGATGAGGCAGAGAAGTACCAGGGTCACGTGACACGGGCGGACGGCCAAGTTGGTAAGCAATACATTGAACCTGTCTCTAGTGCATCAGCATATACAGTTTGCAGATTGGTAATTTCTCGCTCCACATATACTGGCATACACAGAGACATAGACAGCAATAGCGACAACACACAAAGTGAAGGGTAGTTGGCCGCAGCCAGATGTGAACCGGATAACGAGTGAGGTATGGAAGCAAGCAAGGACTGAGAACAGAGTAGGGGTGAAAGGGGTGATCCGGGTACCCGTGTACCCGTTTGTTTAGCTGCTGACCCGTTAGCAAACGATTACCCGTTAGTCGTGTACGACGGTACAGTACGGTAATATTAGCTGATTTGCACAGTTGTTCAATTTGATGTACAGATTGAATGTCTTGTTGCTTGTTCGATCCTGCTAAATTAGACAATTTTGACTGTTTTGAATGTAGCGCAGTACGTGCGCATGCTGCGCTTGTCGCGTTGTAGTGCACTTGCTGTGAATGGCATGACTTTGCATGTCCTCCTTGCACAAAATGTATAGTAACTGTCACTATTGGCTGCTAAAGGGTACCCGATAACCCGCCCGTTAAGCCAGGTACCCGTTCGTAACCTTAAAGGGTAACCGTTTCACCCCTAGAACAGAGTGTCTCAGATAGAATAGTCGTGCCAGTGGATAGCAGAAATAGGCCATGATGCAGAACCACTTGGGACCGTCAGATTAATTTTCCTGGACCGAGCCAGCCGGGAAAAAACCCTCGCGCCGACGGACGCATTTGTGAGGGAAAAAACCGGGTGTATATCCCCAATGGCGATTAGGCATCATGTAGGCATGGCAAGCACATCACGGCAAACAGTGATAAAAAGCATTGATAATAATTATGCACAGAAATAAAGGGTGGGAGGGCAGGGACACTGGTGAGACTCAAAACTGACTGAAGAAGTCAGGAAAAGAAGCGACAACAAAGAACACACCAGATGCCATATTTGCAACTGAAAATATTTCGCGAGAAATCATTTCTCGCCTATCTCGCTGCGCTCGGCCGGCGAGAAATACAACATCTCATCACCACCACCACCACCACCACCACCACCACCACCACCACCACCACCACCACCACCACCACCACCACCACCACCACCACCACCACCACCACCACCACCACCACCACCACCACCACCACCACCACCACCACCACCACCACCACCACCACCACCACCACCACCACCACCACCACCACCACCACCACCACCACCATCACCACCACCACCACCACCATCACCACCACCATCACCACCACCACCACCACCACCACTAGCACCACCACCATAACCGCCACCGCCACCGCCACCGCCACCGCCACCGCCACCGCCACCGCCACCATCACCACCACCATCACCATCACCACCACCACCACCACCACCAACACCCTGCTTTGTGCTGTAGCAGCTGGTGCAATGCGTGGTGCTCTCCCCAGGGCTTCGTTGTTTGTGCACACTCTTGCTTCTCTGTAATGCTCTTCAAAGCGGTCCCTGATACATTGCTTTGTCTCTCCCACATAATTTTCTCCATGAAACAAACAGAGCATTGAGTAGAGAACATTCGACTACATAAACTGACCGCCACTCATACCAACATCACATTCACAACATACCCTTTGCCTCCACCTTCTCTTCTCCTTTCTGTACACCTCTCGTGAGGGGTGTGGGCACTCATGACTGGTGAATGAAGACAACACCAGCATGTCTTTCAGAGACCTATCAGGCTGAAAGACACCACACGCGCTCCTGTTGTATGACAATCGTCATGGACCAAACTGCAATCACTGATGAATAGAACCTTGAGGCTGGGCGCGAATGTATTCTTGGTGCGGCCGGCGGCTTGTCTTGGCATGGGTGTGCTCAAACCCGTCCTGGCTTTTAGTCGTTGTTTAGACTGATCTGAACTGGCTTTCACTGTGTTCGGTGTGTTTCTCCATTTTGCATCTTTCTCGTCTGTTGCAGAAAAATCGCCAGCTGATATACATAGAGAGTTAAGCAAGCACCCTTGTTTCATCAGCATGGGCACTGGATCTGCCAGGGATGACCGCAGCATTTCAGAGACCAAGCAGTACTTGAAGGATACTGGCTTCATCGACGAGAACACGGTCATCACAGAGATCACTGAATATGAACTAGTCCCTGTGACTAGGCTGGCCATTCGTGACAGCAAACGACTGAAGTTTAAAGGTCAGCATTACTGTGCAAGCATGATTGCGCGATTGCTTGATAAGGGAGCTGCCGAATGCCAGATAGTTTGTCATTTCACATAACTTAAGCCGCTTTAGGAGCTCCACTTTCCACCTTTCATGTGTGTGTGTGGGGGGGGGGGGGGGGGGGCGTCTCAGGTGCAGTGGTATGTGCAGTTGATTTCCAATCTAGAGGTTACGGGTTCAATTCCCGACGAATATGGTCGCACACGTCTTTCTTCTCTTTCTCATTCTCCTAGCTCTTCTTTCATTCTCCTGGGTGGTTACCAACAGCCAGTGTATGCCGGAGTATGTGGTGTGGCGTGTGTGTGTAAAAAAATGAAAAATGAAATTAAAGGGGAAGTTAAGGCAAAAATTAAAATTTCACCAGTTGTAGTCTTCGGGGTGCTGAGTCGAATGGTCTTGGTCCGAGGAAGCTAAGACGCTCCCTTCCTACTTGAATCCCAATCGAACTCGCGCACTTCCACCGAAACTGGGTGACTGCGCCCTACGAGATGGGGATTTGTATGCAAAATGTCACTAAAAGCGCCATTTCGTTCTTATAAAAGCACGGATGACCGCGATTGGCCCATATGTTGTAGTCTTTTGGACGCTGAGTCGACTGGTTTTGGTCCGAAAAGGCTGCAATGCAGCGTTCCGCCTTTATTCCCAATCGAACATGGTTGAACAAGCGGTCACGTGCTCCTGCGTACACCAGTCACCTGGTCACCGTGCCTGCAGGGTACAACTTACTAGCCTGTTTGACCTTTTTTGGGTGCAGTCCTGTCACTCGAGTTGAACTCGAGTTGAACCTTGGTGTGAAAGTTGTCACCTGCTGGCGTGGTGACCAGGTGATTTGGGCACCCAGGAGCACGTGACCACTTGTTCAACCATGTTCGATTGGGAATAAAGGAGGAACGCTGCATCGCAGCCTTTTCGGACCAAAACCAGTCGACTCAGCGTCCAAAAGACTACAATATATGGGCCAATCGCGGTCATCCGTGCTTTTATAAGAACGAAATGGCGCTTTTAGTGACATTTTGCATACAAATCCCCATCTCGTAGGGCGCAGTCACCCAGTTTCGGTGGAAGTGCGCGAGTTCGATTGGGATTCAAGTAGGAAGGGAGCGTCTCAGCTTCCTCGGACCAAGACCATTCGACTCAGCACCCCGAAGACTACAACTGGTGAAATTTTAATTTTTGCCTTAACTTCCCCTTTAAAGATTCGCTGTCCAGAAACAGCCACTTCAATCAGCTGTGTGGTAGATACCAGGCTAAAATTAATGGCGGTCAATTCATCAGCCTTGCATGCAAGCTGTTGAATGGTGTAACCCCAGCACAAGTCGCTATGTCTAACAATAGCTGTTCGCTATCATTGCGTTCGCGATGGGCAGGTCTGAGGTCTGAGGTGCGCATGCACGAGCATGCGTATGTGTGTGTGCACACAAGCGCGTGTGTGTATGCGCGTGCGCACATGTGTGTGTGTGTGGGGGGGGGGGGGGGTGTTTGCCAGTGTTTGCATGTATTTGGGCCACCATTCTACGGTATTACGCCAGTACCATGTGAGCAAGTGATCAGATATGAACGGCAAAGAGGCATAGGTTACCTAATACATGCACATGGGAGCATCCGGTCGTTTGAATTGCCGATTCTACACTTGAGATGGTATCCAGTATGTGTCACATGATATTGTGCGCATCCCGCCATGTTTTTCATGCACGTACTAGTAAACATGACGAGCAGATCAAAGGTGCAGGTTTAAAGGCCGCATCTTGGTCTTATACGAAATTGAAAATTTTGTGCTAGGCTAATAGCGAAAAATAGTTATACTCACAAGTTAAAGGGGAAGTTACGGCTAAAATCAAAATTTCACCAGTTGTAGTCTTCGGGGTGCTGAGTCGAATGGCCCGGCAGTCTTGGACCGAGGAAGCTGAGACGCTCCCTTCCTACTTTAATCCCAATCGAACTCCCGCATTTCCACCGAAACTGGGTGACTGCTCCCTACTAGATGGGGATTTGTATGCAAAATGTCACTAAAAGCGCCATTTCGTTCTTTATATGAGCACGGATGACCGCGATTGGCCCATATGTTGTAGTCTTTTGGCCGCTAAGTCGACTGGTTTTGGTCCGAAAAGGCTGCGATGCAGCGTTCGGCCCTTATTCCCAATCGAACATGCTTGAACAAGCGGTCACGTGCTCCTGCGTACACCAGTCACCTGGTCACCGTGCCTGCAGGGTACAACTTACAGCCTGTTTGACCTTTTTGGGTGCAGTCCTGTCACTCGAGTTGAACTCGATTTGAACCTTGGTGTGAAAGTTGTCGCCTGCTGGCGCTCTGACCAGGTGACTTGGGCTCGCAGGAACACGTGACCGCTTATTCAATCATGTTCGATTGGGAATAAAGGAGGAACGCTGCATCGCAGCTTTCTCGGACTAAAACCAATCGACTCAGCAGCCAAAAGACTACAACATATGGGCCAATCGCGGTCATCCGTGCTTTTATAAGAACGAAATGGCGCTTTTGGTGACATTTTGCATACAAATTCCCATGTAGTAGGGCGCAGTCACCCAGTTTCGGTGGAAGTGCGCGAGTTCGATTGGGATTAAAGTAGGAAGGGAGCGTCTCAGCTTCCCCGGACCACGACCATTCGACTCAGCACCCTGAAGACTTCAACTGGTGAAGTTTTGATTTTAGCCTTAACTTCCCCTTTAATGATGCTCAAATTCCCTCATTACTTAATCACCCCTTTCAGTTAAACTTTCCCATTTTCTTCTTTATTCGGTCTCTGACTCGAGGGATGTGTACATGCGTGAACGTGCATGTGTCACTGTGCATGCATACACACTGTTATTATTCTGAAACAGATCAGAGGTCGTCTATAGTGAAGTTCATCATCGAATGTGAATATAATCACACGGCCCCGAGTTTCATTAAAAGTGTCATTCGTAATCTCCGCAATCTCCTTGGCGATTGGAGCATCCACGCCGACAGCGTGCACGGCGAGAGCGGAGGCACAGCAGTGTTTGTACAGATGTCTGCCAGGGCTCATACCAGGCTCTGGGAGTTCTGTAAGGATCGATCTAGCCTGCTCGCTGGTCTGCACGTTCTCGAAGTGTCAACTGTGGACGGAGCAGTAGTCTTCAATTTTCGTCCCACGACATGCAGTGGCGAAGGTAAGACGGATTGGTGCTGTAGGAAATAGGAATGCACCGATAGAAGCCAGTTAACTCCTTAGCCTTAGTTCCATGATGATAGGGAGGTCATCACTCGTCAACAGACGACTGGCTGTCGTGTGGGAAAGTGGTTGCTGCATGCACATTTCAATCCATGATGTTGGTCCGCACACAAGTTTTCGAGGAGACTCTCTTCACAGAACGAAGTAGTGTTCACAACCAAACAGCTTCCTTGATATGCTTCAATTTACCTCTTGAGCAAAAAGTCCGAGACACTTTGTTTTCTTGTTCAGGTATTACTCCTGATGACCAAAAGCGCTTGGTTGAAGAGTTCTCCAAGAGATATCCATCCTTGGACCGAGATGAGCTGTCTGTCGCTGTGGCTGACCAACAGAACGTTCAGCATGCAGTGATTGCACTGACCAAGCTCGTCTTCGATGATGACGGAGCATGCTTGAATGCACTGCCTGAGATTCCTCGTCGTGAGTTTCAATACCATTGTTTTGTGGTTGTGTTGCGTGTACTGTGTCTATTGGGCGTTCTGTCACTGTTGCGAACCGGTGTGCATCAGCGATAATATTTACATCGTGTTATAAAAGCACAAACGCCGTATCATTTTGGCAATGTCACTGGGACCACAATGAAGAGAAATAGTGCGTTTTGCCGCATCGGAATAATCGGAGGACGGTTTGGTGCATGTATTGATGAACTTGTGGTCCTTCAGAAAAGCCTCCCTTTGTACCGAACCGCCCGAGGCCATTGTGCTGCGAGTTGAATTTTCAGCAAGTCTGTGGAAGGTATTCCCCTATAAAGGTGATGTGTGTGTGTGGGGGGGGGGGGGGGAGGGAGGAGATGGAGGGGGACACATGAATCTCTCGCATCTTAGCACCAGCAACGTTACTCGCTGTTATGCGGGATTCACAGAAGCATTTTTACGATGCAATGCACAATGCGACATCCGCGAAATCAGGAAATTCCCAAAACGAACCGATCGCGCAGCTCACTCAGCCGTCACAACTGGCCCATCGCTGAAGTTGAGCTTGCCACTGCTTGGCTCAATTTTCGCGATGCGACATGCAATGTGATGAACGATTTTGACCTTTGCAACAAAGTTGTACGAAATGTTCAAGAGTTGCTTGCAGATTTGTGCAAGTTGTACCCGACTACACAAATGCCACAATGACGTACGCATTTGCATTGAGCTTTGAGGCACGTCAGCAAGGCGTCGTCTACTTATGTTATTGGTAATTTGTTAGTATGCATCGCACTGCGGTGTCGCAGATCATATTGTATCGCGCATAGCATTGCAAGAATGCTTCTACGAATGCCACCTAAGAGTTAAGGAGAACAAGTGACCATGCAGCCGTAAAATTATGCTTTGCCTTTCCTCTTGCGGTCTTTCTTAGGTGTGGCGGCAAGAACGGCAACTTCTACCCCTGCTCACGTTGTTCGTAAGTGCACCAATATGGCTGTGATAAAACCTTGGTCCATCACAATGCACATGTGTACATATTGTGTGTGTGAGTGTGTATGTGTGTGTGTATGTGTGTGTGTGTGTGTGTGTGTGTGTGTGTGTGTGTGTGTGTACCTCGGACGCCCCGGATCCCCTCGTACCGGCATCGGTGACTTGTTTCACATGCGCCCGGCACTTCGCACGTCAGGGTGACCTCGCTAGGCACAAGTGCACGGCTGAACGGCAGAAGCCGGTTTCAGAGCAGAGAGGTGCATGTCAGTGCCCTCGGTGTCATCGTTGGTTCCGGAGCCGCGGAGGCTTGGCTGTGCATCGTTGCTTCGCTTCTACCTCGTGCCCAGTACCGACCGAACCAGCTGCTGTTGTCACCGGTGACACTACCGCTCGGAGGTGCTGCAATGCTCACTGTGACACCTGCAATCGTTGTTTCCGCTCAACCCACGGACGCAACCGCCATCGCTGTTTAACGCACTGCCACCGACCAATGGCCAGAGAACGGGACAAGTTCCCGCATATGTGTATCTGCTCTCGCCGGTTCCGACTAGTCTCGCATCTGGAGCGCCATCGGGTGGCGTGCTCTGTCTCTCTCTCTGCTGCCCCTCCGGGGCCCACGTGACCCTAGTGGTAGTGGCTCTACAGGACAGGACAGGACAGGTGTGTGTGTGTGTGTGTGTGTGTGTGTGTGTGTGTGTGTGTGTGTGTGTGTGTGTGTGTGTGTGTGTGTGTGTGTGTGTGACCCTCCAGCTCAAGATTGTGTTTTCCTGATTCACGAAGGCCGAAGCAGCACGCGTACAGACGTTTGTTGAACAGAACATCATGTTCACATTTCTTTTTATATTGTTCCTTTTTCAGTCGTTGCATTTATTGGACCTGCAGCAGACTGTTCACCTGGTTTGTGATATTTCTTTCCTCTGTTGGTGAGTTCTTTTCCATCAATATGGCAGCTTGTTTTGATTTCCTTTTTTTCTTCAATTCATTCTGCTGTACTTCCTGTTTTGTTTTGCGCCACTGCCCCTCACCTTGCGCTCAGTTCTCTGAGTGGAGGGCGGCGTGACCCCACTGGGGTGGCTGATTGATAGTAGTAGTAATGTGTGAGTGTGTGTGTGTGTGTGTGTGTGTATGTGTGTGTGTTTGCTAGGCTTAATACACGTGTTGTTGTTTCTGACCTCAATCATGTCCCTCCGATGGGAATTTCAAAGGAATGTCAAATCATCTTGCTTTTTCATTTGCATCATAGTTTCAAGAAAGCGGAACCTCCGAATGTTGCATCTGATGCTTTCTGCCAAATAACTGACACTTGACTAACGGCTGCTGCCGTCTGGAGCACACGAGAATCACGTCGAGCAAGGAGTGGTACTTTCTTGCAGGTTTGCCGAGTGGAAGGTTGGACGTGCTCCTGGTATGCTCAAGACGGCAGTCGTGTGTCAGTCAAGTGTCAAGTCACTCGGCAGGAACGCCAACACTTGTATCTGTCACAAACAACATTTTCGAGCAAGAGAATTCAGAATGTTGTGTACTTCAAAAAAGTGATGTTATCATCACAGTACGGAATAGTGGTAGTGACTTTGGGACAGTGCAGAGAAATGCCTCAGGCTTGAATCTGTTTTCCTGCAATTCTTTTTAATTTAATATTTTGTCTTCTTTCTTGCAGATCCTGAAGAGGCCATTTCAACCCGTGTCTCGGCCAATCCTGGACGTGCAGTAGAAATCCAGGGAGCTGACAATGAGCTGTCTCTCCGGCCGCAATTTAAGTCCCAGGTAAGAAGAGACTAGATGCAAACATCATAGGTAACGCAAAGACAGTTTTAGGTCTGGTCATGTTAGGTGGGTGTGTGTTGGGGGGGGGGGGGGGAGGGACATGTAGAGGGGACGGCTCGATACGGGACGCTTTGACAGCCAAATTTGTATAGACCCAAACCGATCATCAGCGTTGATTTTTCACTCGAAATATGTTTGTGGAAGGAAACTGGCATGTTGAAGTTTGCTCTGGGGGCCAGAGTCAATCGAACTGAGCCACTCCTTTGTGTTGACCCATTGCCTCCAATTTGCCCAATTTTTTCAAATCAGAGGTGGCTCCAAACCGGACACGTTTTAGAGTGCACGTCAAATTCACTCTGGGTCTGAAATTAGGTAATTGCTATCGCTCCACGACGGCCAGTACAGAGTAACAATAAGCCTTCTGTGTGCTTCCATTAGTTTTGATTGGTATGCGGTGCTTTATTGGCGAGAGGCGAGCCGCTGTTCACCTGCGACAAGAAGTTGATTTTCGAAAGTCGTAAAACTCAAGTCGCAGTGCGAAGCAACACGACAAAAACTCACCTGCTTGATATGGCGCTTCTGGTCATCGCAGAGCCATGAAATTTTGGCTCGGAGTATAAAACATCGTAGTCTCACTGTGCATGTGACATATGTTTTCTAATCAAAATTCCAAGAGAGAAAGTGAATATTGAGTCCGTTCCAGTTTGCAACCTGTGTCCTATTTCAAACCGTCGCCTCTACCCCTTTAACCCTTTGAGACCCCAACGATCGAATTCGATCGTTTGGTATACAGTGACACTAAAATAATTATATCTCTGGTGTTCCTTCACCGATTTTCATAAACAAAGTATCTACGTTTCGAGAAGACCCTTGGCTATCATGTCGAAGTTACCCGAAGTCTCTAGGAGTTACGATGCCGCGGTGGTGAGACTCGAAGTCGGAGACAAACTGAAAAATGCACTCAGATCGAAAAATTCAAATTTTCACGCTGCACTTGGCATGAGATTTCCCTGGAATGGTACGTCATACTCAAGCATGCTGCACACCAAGATTTTGCGCTTGAAACGAGCTTTCCGCTGTAGTTTATTTGAAGTCGATGCGATGAAAGAGAATGGAATGGCGGCTGTTTGAACTTTGCTGAAGCTGTTCGCGCACGGCTGCTGTTTTGGGCGGCATTATAGGCCACGCGGAGCAGAGGCTGTGCAGGTAGTTGGCTTGAGTGTGGCACTATTCTCTTCGTCTTGGAAATACCTTTCCAACGGTGGTTAGTTTGTAAAAATCGGTGAATGTTTCAAAGAGATACGAGCGAAAGTGCATGTCATTTGAAGGTGCGTAAATTGTCGTACTTTCAGTGGGGTCTCAAAGGGTTAAACATTTGACGTGGAGTATGGTGCACGGTTGTATTTCACTGACATCTGAGAAATAGAGATTTAATAATCATATTTGTAAGAAGAGGTTGCAGCGACTTCAGTGATACTTCAATCTTTATTTTCAATTAAATGTGGATGGTCAGGATACAACATTATGATTCAGCAAGGGAAAACTACCGAACAGAAAGAAGCCTATGTGAATGTCACCTACCCATGTCTAACTGCGGAAACAGTTACTTTCATGAACCATTATCACTGCATTGCCAACCTCTTCTTCTACCTCCTCCTCCTCTTCTTCCCCATCCCTGTGCACCCCATGGACTGTTGAGACAAAAATGATAACCCCCCCTCCCCCCCCCCCCCCCCAGCTCCTCCTCCTCACTAGCATTTTCCTGCTCCACTCTCTATTTATCTTTGGGCAAAAGACGCAATGCACAATATTCTTCACTATTAGGTATGGTTGCAACTTGCAGTGAGGAGTGGTGTATTTCGCAAGTAGCATACCCTGTCTGAAAACGCCTGCAGAGCTGTGCTGGAAAATGTGCTCCGCCCATTTTTTTGTATTCCTTTATTCCTTTCCGTTTTTGATATTCTGCAGTGGTATTTCCGTGGCCGTGTACCTTCTAACTGGACCATGTTTCGTCGTTGTACCATGTACAATGGGCATGTTTACATTGTGTGCCAGGAGGAGGAGGAAGTACCAGTGATCTACCGGTCTACTCATTCTCTCAAGGAAAGTATTCAGCTTACATGGACAAGAGTAATCGGCATTGACAGCCCACTCTTTTGGGCATGCAGGAGATTTTGCCTTCATAATGAAAAATTGTACTTTGCAAGTCTTAGTTATAGGGACAGGAACCTGGATATCCCCTATATCTATGTTTTTGATCTACAGGGAAACTGTTGTACTAGAGAAATACAATGTGATTTTATCTCAGTACCAGCTACGGGTACGGATACATCTTGGACGCATTTTGGGGATGTATTCGTAACCCAGTCAGCGCTTCTAATAGTATGCTTATGGCGCAATCATTTCTTAGAAGTTTTTTCATTAGATACCAGACATGATGGTGCAGCATGGGCAAAATTGGATCTGCTCAGCTTGCCGGAGCCGCCGGACAGCATCTGCAGCACTGACGATACTCTGTTTGTGATACCAAGGAGAGACCTCAATGATGTGCATTTGTCAACGCATTTGTCAATCATGAAGTTGGATGTAAGTGAGGAAAGTCTGAGAATGCCATCATGGCTCGAGATCAAAGTGGACATGATGACTCTTGATGTAGATGTATTCAGTTGTGTTGTATCAGCTGCTGTGGGTAACAGTATAATCATGCCCGTGTACTGTATGGGTGATGATTTTAAAACTGTCAATGCTTTCATGTGTGTTGATTGCAGTACGTGTATAGGCCGTTGTTCTGTCTTTCCGCCGCGATCCAGTAAATCCTTTTCACCGCAGTTGATGGTGGATGGCGATACGCTTATTGCACTCCATTCTGATCACTCAGTGTCTACTCTTCAGCTACCTGACCATTTGTAGACACCAGTGATCGATCGGCTTCTACATGCATGTATGCCAAGGCGGTGTACAGTGTAGATATTCTGCTGCGGCTAGGTCATGTGATGGACAACTGGTGCACACTGTGTGTTTTTTTGTGATGCTGAGTTTTTTTGTTTGCACATGCATACCCTGTTCTGCTGGGGACCCATATGCATGATGTGTTTGGTGTCCAGTTCTTTCAGGCCATCATTCTACATAGGCACTGTCCTGAAATGCTTATTGTCTATGTACATATTATACATTAGGTTGGAGGCATATTATAATTATATAGATATTATGTATATAGAATGCTGTCCATGGATTGGATATGATGTATTATATATATATACATAGAATATTAGTTCTAAAACTCAACAGCTCTCTACACATACATACTCATTATAACTGTGTACATAGTAGTATTTTTTTTGTCAGTGATTGACAAAACCCCATAGGTTGAATTGGTCAGCAGCCACATTACTTACTTCCTAGAAATTGAAGAACTGACTAATTGGCTCTGTGTGTGCGTGCAGATGTGTACCGTACATGTACGCATAATGGTAACGTTGCACTGGTCCAGCCAAGAGTATAGGGTCACTTTGAGAATTATGTTACGTCGGTCGGTCGAGATACAGAGAGTGCGTGCGCGAGAGCGAGAGAGAGAGAGAGAGAGAGAGAGAGAGAGAGAGAGAGAGAGAGAGAGAGAGAGAGAGAGAGAGAGAGAGAGAGAGAGAGAGAGAGAGAGAGAGAGAAAAGAGGGAGAAATCACCTTACAATTGCATACAGAAAGGGTTTGCGTACATGTAACAAAAAGAAAAAGGTGCGGCGTTATCAATTGAAACAGATGAGTACTGTCACCACAATAGATGAAAAGCCGCGAAGACGTAGAGTGGAAGATTTGTCAAACCAGCACATTATACAAAGTAGAAAGTCTCAAGACTTGATCAACAAGCAGTGCCTTCACACCAGAGCAATCACAAGTGCAGAGATGGAAGGAAACAACCGCAGCAGCTATATGATGCATTGGCAGTCCCCCTGGTGGTGGTGGTGGTGGGGGGGGGGGGGGGGGGGTTAGTGCAAGAATATAAAAGTCGATGTCCGTTGCTATATGCTGAGCGTTATACACTGAAAGTGCTAGCTGCATTAGACCTAGATTTATATGCAAGTAACTGCATGCGAGATTATCACATACTTCGAGTACATGCTAGCTAAAGTAGGTGCGAGAATATCATACACATGCTGGCTACAGTAGAGCTACAAGAAAGGCATTGCACTCGAGAATAAAATGACGCTACCAGCGTATACAATGAAACATGGAGTAACCGATGAGGACATTCATGTGAGGTGAGGCCTCTCTATCTGAGCACACGTCAGTCTGGCATCAGTTCTGCTCTTCACATGTTTCATAATCCCTACTCCAGTCGACCTGCATACACTGAAGGGGTTGCAATTGAGACGGCCATGCTCGACGTACTGGAAATGTTCGAAAGTGAACTTCGTTTTATAAACGGGAGAGTGCTGGAGCGGAAGACTACTCTCACCTGTTACCTTCATGGTCACAGTTGACAATATGCAGAAGTCATGCATGGCTGATCACAAGCAGCTCATGTGTACATCGTGCACCTAGTAGCTGTAGATCTTGGTGCAGTGGATGTCCTTGTGGGCACACTCACGATTACGGTTATAGCAGTAGAAGTAGCCGATCTTCAGCTTCAGAACTTTCACCAAGCCGTTGGGCCAGCGATCCGGCTAACAGGAACATGCAGAGAGAGAGAGAGAGAGAGAGAGAGAGAGAGAGAGAGAGAGAGAGAGAGAGAGAGAGAGAGAGAGAGAGAGAGAGAGAGAGAGAGAGAGAGAGAGAGAGAGAGAGAGAGAGAGAGAGAGAGAGAGAGAGAGAGAGAGAGAGAGAGAGAGAGAGAGAGAGAGAGAGAGAGAGAGAGAGAGAGAGAGAGAGAGAGAGAGAGAGAGAGAGAGAGAGAGAGAGAGAGAGAGAGAGAGAGAGAGAGAGAGAGAGAGAGAGAGAGAGAGGAGGGAGAGAGACGACATGGAGAAAAACAACTTTTAATAATGGTGCCATAGGGACTAGTTTGTGTTCGACTGCACGGTGCATTCAAACAGCGTAACGGTACAAAACCTCACACTTAGATGCCCGACAGAAGTTTTACTTAAATTACTAGGCTGCCATCAACCTTCCAGTCCACAATCTCCACAAATTGGTGGTCAGCACTCCATGAGAAAAAGTATCATTAGCTACAAGGCATAAATTCCTTCAGATTATAGTGCAATCAACATGTCATCTGCCATGTCAAATATGGCTCGAACGTGATAATTATTATCAGGCGGGAGTCAGCAAATAACGACTTCTGGTTCAAAGTCAGATCCACTGCGAGACCATAACGAAGTACAATGTTATGTACAGTGTATTGGTGGGTAGGGTATTTATTTAACACCAGTAATGTACTTGTAACCACAACCAGTCGGTGTGGCTTATGCCACGATGGTCAAATTCACCGTCATGAGCAGGATTATGCCACGATGGTCAAATTCACCGTCATGAGCAGGATAGAGGTCAGTATTTCGTGACAACAATCTGGATGCAGCTCATACCGCAAGTGCGGCTTATACTCCTGAAGATACGGTAGACCCCCTTTGCATGCAAGTGTGACTATTGTCCGGGCCATGAGCCAAAACTAGATCCGACTGAGTGGATCCATAAGTCAGTGTTCTCATGACAACAGCCTGGTTGCCATGTACTTCAAAGTAGCACGTTCAAGCCCTATATCGTTCTTTGTGAATATAATCAGTGTTAGATAATCACGACCGCCCCAACTCACTCCCGGACACGCACTCGCAACAACGTCCACAACGAGTTCTTTGGCGAACAGTGTTCATATAATTATTGGAGAAGAAGCAGAGAATGTGGGAGAGCGAAAAACACAAGTTTGTTCCACGGCCAACTCTAAAAAACTAACTGGAACTGACGTAGTTCTTCGTTGTACGCACTGTACGCATGAGAGCACGCGAGTTCCATGCCAGCGCGCAAGCGAGCAATAGATGAACATGAAACAGACACCAGAAGTAAAAGGATCTGGCGGTGACATAAAGTCAAAGGGAATGTATTACATGTCGGGAGACCATCAATGAGCCATGGTAGCCGACGGGTGCAGCACATCATCCCCAGTCGCGACTGGGGATGATGTGCTGCGCCGTAGCAGACATGAACGCCAAACGCCTCGTAGACGGAAGACATGACAGCGTTCTTGAACTCTGTGCCGTTGTCGGATCGAACCACGCGAGGAGGACCCCACCGAGAGCACACGTCGACGAAAGCACTAGCCACACAGATGCCGTCATGACGCTTGAGGGGAGCCACCTCGACCCACTTGGTGAATGCATCCACGCATACCAACACGCAGTGGTAACGCCCGGACCGGTTAACGCCGAGCTCGAGGGTATCGATGTGCACCACATCCCAGGGGCCGTTGGCTGATACCAGAGGAGTGGGCTCGGTCGCCTCTCCGCGGCGTGGGTTGGCGGCTTGACAGCTGCTGCATCCGGACACAAACGCTTGGCAGCGCTGTCCCATGCCCAAGAAATGGCACTGGGATCGAAGCAACTGCCACGTCGCCTCCCAGCCACTATGGCCAGACACCTGGTGGGCTGCACGCACGGCCCGCTCCTCCAGCGCAGCAGGAAGCACAGGAACGCACTTGACGTCGTTCGGCGGAAGCTTGACGCTGCGCTGTAAGACGCCGTCTTGAACTTGCAGCTGACCGCGGATGTTCCGGAAGCCGCTGTCAGGCGGGAGGTCGTCCCCAGCGATCACTACGGCCTTCACTGCCTGGAGTGCACCATCGTCCTCCTGCCCGGCCAGGATCTGGGCCATCGACAGACTCGGCATGATGGCGAGGCTGGCAGCAACATCCGTCGCGCTGTTATCCGATGTGCAGGCCAGCCAGGACGTCGGAACGAGCGTGAGCTGGTCGGAGAGGTTCTGTTCTGACGGAACCCAGTCCACCTCCACGTCAAGGCGAGCTGTGGCGACGATGTCGTCAATGATCTGCAACCGACGCTTGACGAGCAGCTCGTGGAGCCCGCCAACCTTCACGCGGCGCTCGTTCCCGAGGATCTGACGAAGCCAGCCATGCACGGTCTTGGAATCCGTGTGGAGGCGGATCTTCCGCGCAGGCCAATTGGCAGCCGCGTTGAGGCCCTTGATGACGGCGTCCAACTCAGCGATGTTGATATGCCGTTTGTCGTCAGCCGGGCGCAGCCAGCTGCGGTCCTCGATGACCTCGCCGTTGACTTGCATCACGACACCCAGCGCGATTCCCGACGCATCGCACCACACGTGCCACTCCGTTGCGTCGTCATGCTGCACCGACCATACGCCACGCACCGGATCGTGCTCGTTGACTTGGGTCTGGAGGTCGCGGCAGAGCTGCAGCAGACGAGGTGGCACGGCGACATCCCAGCCGACGGATTCGCCGATCATTCGCTTCAGCCAATTCGTCGTCGGTCGCAGCCACGCACAGACGGGGTAATGGCTGACGAGCTTGCCACACCAGCTGAACACGGCGCGCTTGGTGGGCGCCTCTGGTAGCTGCAGGCAGACGTCACGGCGACGTTGCCAGTTGATCGTGCCGTCTTGAGTCGAGAGCTGGAGGCCCAGCACCCGAGCAGTAGGGAGCTTCTCGGCAGGCTTGCACTTCAGGCCGTAGCGCTCGAGCTGCTGGATCGAGGCCGCCACTTGGGAGTCCGGCACACGCAAGTCGTCGACATAGTTGTCCACGCCGTCGAGGTCTTTGGTCACCCACTTCACGACCATCTCGAGGATCTTCGGCGCGACGTTGAGGCCGAACCCCATGCGCGTCATGGCAAACAACTCTCCTTGCCACACGATCGCTTGATAGCGGTACAGACGGGGTTGGAGAATTGGAGAAGAAGCAGAGAATGTGGGAGAGCGAAAAACACAAGTTTGTTCCACGTCCAACTCTAAAAAACTAACTGGAACTGACGTAGTTCTTCGTTGTACGCACTGTACGCATGAGAGCACGCGAGTTGCATGCCAGCGCGCAAGCGAGCAATAGATGAACATGAAACGGACACCAGAAGTAAAAGGATCTGGCGGTGACACAAAGTCAAAGGGAATGTATTACATGTCGGGAGACCATCAATGAGCCATGGTAGCCGGCGGGTGCAGACAGAAGTTAGAGCAACGAATACCATGCATGCTCTCACATCATTGATAGTGATCACCATGGTAGATGTGTGTACATCGTAACAAAAATCCGGGTGAGGTTTATACTCCACAAAATACTTTATGTAAACATGATGTGGTGGCGACTTCGGTGATTATTTTATTGTACAGGTCTGCTCTCGATATAACAACTCTCACTTGTACATAAACCTCGCTAGTACGTAAACAAATTAAATTCCGCGCCGAGACAGCATCACTCCCATACAAATTTTGTTCTACACAACGTAATCCTACATAACATAAACCACGACATAACACATGCTACGGCGCGGTCCCCGACCTGCGCACTCTCGATACAACATAAAAAAAGTGCATGGTACGATCAAGTGGTAGCTGTAGCTAGGCAGTTTAGGCCAGTTTAGTCCTACATAACGTAAACCTCGGCATAACTAACCCTACGGCGCGGTCCCCGACGTGCGCAAACTCGATACAACGTAGATTGACGTGTGCGGTACAATCAAGCTGTAGCGCCGTAGCTAGCCAGTTTAGTTCTATTGTGCATATATTCTGCGGCATTGATGGTATCTGATGTCGATGGTGGTACAGTGTGTATATGTTTGCATGGTTAAACCCTCCTTGTAATCAGGGTAATACCCTTCATTTTTGAGGTACATCTTGTATTTAGCACACGGTTTTCCACATAATATAACTCTCGATATAACATAACTTTTGCGTGGTCCCAGAGTTTACGTTGTATGGAGAGTAGACCTGTATTGATTTTTATAGGAAAGTTGGCTGCTCCCCACACTGGAGCGCTCGCTTTTCGGCTGACTTGACTTGGACGTGGGGTCAAGTGTCAAGTAAAGTTGGCAGAAAGTACGAGCTTCGTTGTGGGGAGCAACGGACTTGCTTACGTATGTTGTTGTTTTTCAAATCTCTATTCTCGCGATGGCCAATGGCCAGTAAGAGATATTGTTTGTTTGAATTCTTTATTATCACGATGGCACCATCGCCAATTGTTGTTGTTGTTGTTGTTGTTGTTGTTGTTGTTGTTGTTGTTGTTGTTGTTGTTGTTGTTGTTGTTGTTGTTGTTGTTGTTGTTGTTGTTGCTGTTGTTGTTGACTATATGTGAAGTTCAAAGCACCACATCAGCGAAACCTCTTACCAGATCTCCACCGTGAAAATGCTCATACTCGGTGGCATCGCGAAAGCCAGCCAGCTGAAACCGGAATGCTACAGGGAAAATGGACAGGTCACAAAACATCGTGTACATTGTAGATAATTCTAAGGGTTGACAGGCATAGTGGGGTGGTCTAAGATCATAATTGATAAACGGAGGGTACAGGGTTCAAGTCCCCGGTCTATTCTCGAATCGACTCTTGGGCCTATTCTTGAATGGGTTCCTGAATGCGCTGAACAATCCAGATCAGGTCCAATCGTGCCAAAGGGCGTTTCAGGGCCGAAATACCGATTCCTAGATCTTTCGTTTCCCCTCCTAACACCCTTACTTATGTTTATCGCCATGGCTGGCTATCACCCACTTTCTTCACATTGGCCGCAGTTTCCACTGCATCTTGAGATGTTGCAATAAATATATTTGACACAGTACGACCCGCGCTCAAACCTTTTGTTTTGTTTCTGGTTTCTCATTTCTGATGATGATGGATGCTAGTGTACTGGGAGAATTTCCAACATAATCTGCTGTGAGAGTCGACGATGAAGTAGAGCAGGTCCCGGCATTCTTCCCGGTATTGAAGTATAATTCAAGTTCCTTTGCGGATGTGCTGGAGTTTCTCTGGCACCAGTGCATGCAGTTCCCCAATCCTAATTATGTTTTAGTCTTGCCCACTCTCTCGATATTAGATGTACTGCACGGTCTACAGTCCATTCAGAAAAAGACGAGCGCTGGCTTTGGAGAGCTCCCATGTTTGGTGATTTTCGTGATTTTGTGGTACACCGTGCAGTGCCGCGAGATTCGAAACTTGAAAAAGGGTCCAAAAAGGTGCCTCAACTGTGGTTCGAACCGCGAATGTACTGTTATGCAAGTGCAGTGAACGGCCTGGATTTTCATGGTTTTTCCCCTACTCAGTGCTTTGGGGGCAAAACCAGGCTGAACTCCTATTCTCGTTATGGCTTGCTCTTCGGAGAAATAGACTTCAAAAACACATTCCATAGGGTTTGTCAAATAACTTGTGACAAAACTCAAAATTTGACCCATTTATGGCCAAAAGCTAAGAAATCATATTTTTTCTGAATGGACTATTGTACTGTCTGTATTGTAGGAAACCATGGGTGCAGCTGAGCAACTGTTTTCCAGGACCGCGCACTGGCGACACTGCGGGCACTGGGTGCACCACCCAACGTTAGATACATTATTTTCGTCTTCGTGACCTCCTTCAATCTCCTTTCCTGCCATGCAAGAACTGTATCCTCCTCAATCGCATGCAAGTGAATTACTTCAATGGGGGACGGGGAGGAATGAGTTGTGCAAGCCGAGGTCTCTTACCGTCTTCGACTTCCTCGTTCCAGACTATTCCTCGTTTCATGTTCTTGGACCGTGGTGCCGTCACGCGTCACGGTCGCCGCTCGTCGTTTCGGTGCTGTAGCAGCCGCCAGGGCCATGCCGCGTCGGCGGCTCGGCGCACTACACCAATGACATAATTTTTCCCATATTTTCTTTTAATCTGTGTCACCTTTCCAAGTTTTCCCATACGTACCTGGGTTACTTGGACCTCATTCGCTTCCTTGTCATTGGACATGTATGTATAATGTATGTACACTGTTGTGTGGCAGAAATCCAAGAGAGCTAGTCCGTGACACACTACTCAGTACTGTCACTAGTCAGAACAACAGATGGCTTGATCAGTGACTGACCAAGCCATCTGTTGTTCTGACTAGTGTATGGTATGCTGTTCAGTCCGTTCGTTTTGCGAACTACAAACTGGCCCCCAACCCCAACATGACTGTCTGGACATCCAGGCCAGTTCTGCGGACAGAGGTTGTATGACCGATACAGGCATGTCATCCACAAAACGTAACACGGACCCGCGTAGATCTACCCACCCGTACCCGGACCCGGCCAGGGCCACCCTCACGCACTGCTGTTGCTGCTGCGGAAGATCTACGCGGTAGCTAGCTCACCTCGGCGAAACGAGCACCATTTCCACACTGGAGCTTCGTGGTGAAATATTTTCACTGCAGCGCTAGCTGTAGTTTCTTCAGTTTTTCATGCTACAGCCAGTACAGGCAGCCTTTAGACGAGTTGTTGTAGGCAGCGAGGTGGTGTTAGTTTGGCCGTCTGCTGCTTCGTGTCGAAGTTTGTTTGGTTGCAGGCTGTGTAAGAATCTGTTTGTTGGCCAAAGGGTTTCATCGAAGTTTCCTTGTGGCTCGGAGGCTCCATTCGACTGCTCCATACCGTCACGACGTAGAGAACCGGTACCCGCGGCCTATCCACCCACGACGTTCAAAGTCGTGTCCAGGATTCAAGCAAACCGTGACTCCTGGCTGCAGGAGCGCTCGCCACTGGACGTTCATCGTCCCCGTTTGTCATGGTGTTCCAGTGATTCTGGGTAAGGGGACTGGTTGGCCAGTGTTGTTCGGTTCTTGGGGATTGTTGTTCGTTCTCGTTTCCTGAACTGGCCGCAGAGCACGGGTAACGGGTATGCATGGCTCATACTCCAGGCGCGTCGGAACGACTTTGGAAGTGGGGCGGCCATGGAAGGGGGGTCCGGGGGTCGTCCCGCGGGAAAAAAATTTCAAAAATTAAAGCCAATTGCAAGCATTTCCGGGCATTTGGTGCCATTTCAGTGTACGGTAACTACAATGAAAGACTTTTTGATTCTGCAAAAAAACAAGAAGATGCTACGATCGGGGACAAACGTTACCCTCCCCCGGGAAAAAAATTCAAAAATTGAAGCCAATTGCAAGCATTCCCAGGCATTTGGTGCCATTTCAGTGTACATGGACTTTTGATTCTGCAACAAACCACGATCGGGGACAAGGATATTTGCCACGTTTGCGCTGAGATCATCGCACGCGCTTTGTTGCAGTGTGCTAAAAAAAAAAAAAAAAAAAAAAAAAACGGCCGAAAAAGTGGGGCGGCCATGGCCGCCCCGGCCGGTGCGGTTCCGACACCCTTGTACTCCTTTGAGCGTTTCAACAACTCAATGACTATTTTGCTTGTGTACTGCGATTGGGAGTAAAGTACGGTGAATAGGTGTGGGTTCTCTTCATTCGGTGAGTGCGTTCGATTACACACTTGAATCGATTCATGAATCCATTCGCATGCATTCAAGTCGTTCGATTTCATGTCATGAGCCCTGGAATCGATTCGGAATCCATTCACTCTATTCACATGGGTGATGTGAATAGCGCGAATCGATTCATGAATCGATTCATGAATCGATTCGCGTGCATAATCGAACGCACTCAGTAGAGTTGAGTCGAGCCAGCTGCAGTTCCCGGGGGCCGAAAGGCTGGCTTACCCCCCTTTCCATGTCCACGACAGTACATGTACATGATATTAAAAGTCTTACCAGAACTCCGTCTACAGAGGAACGTTGACTACCGGTCAGAGTGTTTCTATGCATGGCATGCGTGGAATATATGGACTGTAACTTCGAAGTATATGTACCAGTACAGTCGCGGTCAAAGAAATGCGACCCGCGACTCAAAAGCAGCTCCGCATTTCTATTTCACCGTGCATGGTCGAATAACCCATCCGGGAGGGCCAGAGCTCCTGGTTCGGACTCCCCGATACACGTTGCAATGCAAATGGAGTGAAGCTTCCTTGTAAATTTGCTGAGCGGAGGGCTCGACATGCTTCTCGTACTCTGGAGGCGCGTTCTCGACGTTGAGAGCAGCCAACTTCCTCAAGTTGACGTCATAATATGATGCAATGTGCGCGGATTATCAGACATATCCTGGACCTTAGCTAGTACAAAATAGCACAAGGAATGTTTGATGGTTTGATAAGCTGTACAAACGCCGTATATCACTCTGGCCAGAGGAGCATTGCATCAAAACAATGCTGTCAACTTGAAATTCTGTAGGGACAAAACTGTATGCGTGAGCTGCCTACTCTTGGGGGTGATGCACTCTTGTCAATGCTCAGTGCACACTCTTGGAACCTTGCCTCCACTGAAACAAAAGTGTGAAGCACTTTTAAAATTTTAGGGTTTCTTTGGAATCTGCAGGCAGGCATAGTGGGATGGTCTGAGACCATGATTGAGAAACAGAGGGTACCAGGTTCAAGTCCTGCTTAGAAGTCTGATCTACTCACCTCCCACCGCTTAGGAACTGCATCTGCGCCTTGATCCAAGAGGGCAGTGGCGTTCCTGCGGATACGGAAAACCGGGCCTTTGATTGAGAAACAGAGGGTACCAGGTTCAAGTCCTGCTTGGAAGTCTGATCTACTCACCTCCCAACGCTTAGGAACTGCATCTGCGCCTTGATCCAAGAGGGTAGTGGCGTTCCTGCGGATACGGAAAAACTGGGCCTTTGGCCGAGTCTCACGCGAACTGTGATTTTTTTGAATCTGCACCCGCTGAAAACATTCTGTAGAATGTTATCCATTGCTACATCACTCATGATGTGCCACGTCTATTTTGGTGTGGTTTATTGTGTGTATATGTACAACAGATGGTGACTGACGTCCGTGACTTTTGTTGTTGTCGCAGTCATGGCTACAGCAGAGGTATGAATTGTCCACACATCATTGCTTTGCCCAATTCTGAAAATGTTTTCTCAAAGACATCTTACAGTGTGCACACACATACACACATGTTTGCATGCGCACATACACTCGCAATCACACGCACATGCACACACACACGCACACGCACACACACACACACACACACACACACACACACACACACGTGTGCCCACACACACACACGTGTGCCCACACACACACACGTGTGCCCACACACACACACACACGTGCGCCCACACACACACACACACACACACACACACACACACACACACACACACACACACACACTTGTTCACATACATACAATATATATACACGCATGCAAGTATACACACACACACACACACACGCACAAAACACACACACACACACACATGTACCAGCTCCATGCTATCATTTGACTGTTAAAACTTGTGCCAATACGTGTAAAGGGCCATGTGGTATTATTGATTATCTTCAGCGAACAGTAACGCTTCAATGTGGCCTACCTCAGCCAACCAGGCCCCTGAAATGGCAGTGGCCAAACGCAAGCAATAAGCCCATACGAGTATATCGGCAGCTAGCCAGGGCTGTCTCGTCCCCCGATGAACACTTGATCAACACAGCACAGATCTCTGGCAGTTTACAAAAAAACAGAACTTGCATGGCGCGAGGTATGCTGCTAAGTACTGGTCGTAACCAGGGAGTTGTTAAATACCGGTATTTTACGACTCCCTGGTCGTACCTTACTGGCAGCTTCTGTGATTCTCAGCTCATGGTATGCTAGTCCTTGGCAGATACTGCGGGCAGAATTTTTTGTCTTCAAAATTTGGTACTTTTGTGGACGTTTTCATGCATGTTTGGTATGTGGATAAAGAAATGGAGCAGAATTCAAGGCAAGGTGAAGTACCTGCCATAAGTTTTGTATGGTTCTGCCAATTTCACTGCTTTTCAAGCAGAATCTGCCAATTTCACTGCTTTTCAAGCAGAATCTGCCAATTTTTTCGAGCATTATCCGCCAAGGTCGACTGTATGCACTCTGTATGTTGTTATTGCAGAACCACGCGGTCAACACATGGCCATGGTCAAGCCAGATGTTCCGCAAGTGGATCCCACGCCTCCAAACAGCGCTCAGCTGCGATGCAATTCGTGTTGAATGCTGTGCCAAGCGGTTGATCTCCGATGCGCAGAAGAAGGAATTGATGGCGATAAAAGATTCTGCCAAACACAATGACCGACTGCTAGATATGCTGAGCAGGGGTACAGCTGAGACTTTCCACACCTTCTGTAGTATTGTGCGTAGCACCGAACCTGAAGAAAACTTTTCAAAGTTCCTAGATGACATGCAGTCAGTGGATACCTTTGTTGGAGGTAATTAGAATTGTTATCAGTCAGGTGACTGAGAGAGACTCACAGAATTGTACATAGGGGGTGTAGCTCGACCATCTATGGTGTAGTGACCATGTACCACCGACAACCTCATAGCCGCCATTTTGCCTGTTTAAACTATGTAGTACCTATGACAGCGATTTTCTAGTGTAGTGACGGCACTACGCTGACTGCACAAGAGCTCTACTCCTAGTACGGTATACAGGCAGTATTGCGTGTGCTTGGATTTTTTTTGGTCCATTTCCATACAGGGCATATTGAGGGCACCAAACAGCGCTGAAGTTGTGCAAAAGTGTTTGTCACGATGTGTGTGTGTGTGTGTGTGTTTATGTGTGTGTGTGTGTGTGTGTGTGTGTGTGTGTGTGTGTGTGTGTGTGTGTGTGTGTGTGTGTGTGTGTGTGTGTGTGTGTTTATGTTTATGTGTGTTGGGGGAGGGGTCGATTCACATGGCTTTGCCAGTTGTGTGGATTAGACAGTTATCTTGGGTTTGTCTTGATCTGTTTGAATCAAAATCGGATCTGCTATTGTTGCTATAAGAGAAAATCTGTGGGTGCACATCCAGTGCATTTGCAGATTTGGTGTGCTTCTCTTGTGACGGGGGTATACATGGTATATGGTACATGGTGTGTGCATGCAAGCAGGCATTTTGCAAGGCAGTGAAAAAACACTTTGTCTATTTGCTGTTCTCTGTGTCCTCACTAACACAGGCAGTGAAGATGCAGCAACTAGAGTAACTCAACGTCAATCAGACCAGTTCAGCAGGAAACCATTACCATCACCCAGCCAAACAACTCGGTCTCCGCCAGCCACAGCACCCAGACCAAAGCCTATTGTTGAACCCCAGGCCACCCACGCATTTCCCTCCAAGCGCAGCAGTATCTCCGAAAGGAAAGCGGCCTTGAATCCAGCCAGCCAGGAAGGGAAACTGGCTGGAACTTTACCTTCGAAACCTAGTCGAGCCCCCAAGCCTCCCACTCGCCCAAAGCCCGTCACTCCCCACAACACATCAAGAACAGTGGAAACTGAGGATCCCGCTACGGTTCACAGTGTGCAGCCGGTAGTGACTTCTGATCCCGTTTCTCCTTCACGACCACCGCTCTGTGACCGCACACTTCTAGCGGCAGGCAGTACCCAACCAGATGGCACTGAGGCGGCGACATCTGGCCCAGCTGATCCCAAGTCCTCTCCGAAACCTGGACAAGCTGCTCCGTCCAGGTCTGCTAGTGTCTCTACACTTAAATCTAGTTTTGAATCGGATAGGCAAGAAACAGGGAGACTGGTCCCGGATCGAGCCCCGAAGCCAAAACAGCGCTCAAACTCCACGTCAATTGCCAGCACAGCTAGCTTGGACAGGAGCCCAGCCATAGCAGTTGGCAAAGACACGGGCGGACATGCGGTGCAGCATGTACAGCAACCAGCGCCCCCCGCAGAAGGCTTATCTGCCAAGCACATTGCTCCGCCTAAGACTGGACGCGAGTCGATCGCCAAGACAGTAACAGGAGATTCAGCAACGCCTCCCCGTGCAAACTCTCTGGTAAGAGATATAATTATAAGTTTCAGGAGTCGCAGTGCACTATGCTTAAACTTATAATATAATACAATATTTGAGCCGCGCCAAGCTAAAAAGTGGCTTCGTGTTTTGCCAACAAATCGAGAAAATCACCAAAACGTCACAGTTGGCAAAATTCTACTCGAGCGCGATCGCGAAAATATTCACTTTCATTCAAATTCGAAAGAGGATGAAGAGAGAAGCCTTTTTATGTTTGAGCAACACTTCTTCAGTGTTCCCTCTTTCATCGTTGTGGGGATTCCTCAGTGCTGCCAGAGATCGTAATGGGAGCTTCTAGAGAATGTGGAGGTGAGCAGGATGACAGTCATTCTGTATCCGTGCGCGTTGACGGGGAAGAGTCGCTCATTCACAGTGGCTGTGTTTCTTATCGTGGCCACGACTGGAGTGACGAGTATAGCTCTGGGGAGACGTCTACAAGCCCTCCGACTATCATTCTGACAAGCGGCCCGGTGAGTTGGCTCTTGCTGCGATGTTTCACTTTGTTTCGGCTACCTTCAATTTAGTGTTCATGACGTGGCGTACTGGATTCCAAAATTTCCTCGTTTCAAGGAAATAGAGCCACACGACGAAGCGATGCATTGATTCTACCTGCTAGCATATTGTCCCGTGGCGACTTCTACCAGTATCCTTGGCAGGGAAGGAGAATGACATGGACTAGGACGGACAAAGAACCAGTGCCGCTTGTTAGCGATGTGCAGTCTACTGGACCTACATGTATATGTAGGAGATCTCTGGCACAGCACTACGAGCTACATGAAAGGATTAATTCATCCTGGCATAGGTGATTGGAGAGAGTATGACGGACTGTCTTGGTAAGATGCGACGTTCCCCAACCCAGCGAAAAATATAGTCACAACATCATGATGAATGATATGAAAATTTGTATTGAATGATAAAATGACATGAGTCAGGATGAACATTTTCAAACGTAGATCTGTTATTTCTTTTTTCTTGGATCTTCTAATTAGAACACAAGTTTTCATTCTTCTTGTATTGCTTGCACACCTGCTAAGCTTTGTCTCCACTTGGTGTCCCATGTTTTCTTGGAGTTTCGGAAGGTCTTAGAATCCTTAGTGTCATTGATACCAGCCATTCTGTGACATGTGCTCAGTGTAGGCTTATTTATGGCACATATACATTTCAGATGGGCACCAAAATTTCCATGATGGAAGTTGGATATATAGACATCACTTTGGCATGAAAAAAGAAATTTCCAAAAATTATGCCTAAGCCACCTTTTAGCTTGGCTCGGCTCATTTTTGTAATGGAAAACTGAAGTCAGCACAGAGTGGGATCGACATCAATCCACGCTCTTTGCATTTTTCTGGGGCAGGAGGGAAGGGGGGGGGGGGTGGGGGTGCAGCTGATGATCAGATGCTTGTACACAACTGTACACTGATACCTGGTTTACAAGTACGCGAGAGGTCCGAGACCGGGCACTACCCAGAACTTTGAATTTACCGTTACTCTGAGTCACATACTGTCAACTTTGCGAATAACGACATTCGGCGGGGCATCAGAAAAGTGTCCTTATTCGCGAAGTGTCCTTATACCCGAAGTCCCATTTAAATGTATGTGAACCTATAATTTGTATAGTATGACATGTATATCAAAATGAAGCTCTTTTCATGTTTTTATGACATATTACAGCCTTCTTTGATCAGCATAATTCGATTGAGCTCCTTGAAGACCACGTGTTCTGAAAGTATTATTGTCGGCCGTGATTTTTGTTAGAAGGAAATTACACTTCAAGTCAATTTTTACACAAATCCCATTCTGGTAGGTTAATGCCAACACGTTTGTATTTTGGCGGATGTGCGCTGATTCAAATGGGAATGTAGGGTGCAGGGAGCATTGTGGCTTCCTCAAACAAACGCCATTCAACTCAGCAGCCAGAAGATATTTCATGCTCACTTCATTTTGTGTATGCCTATACGTGTGTTGACTTTGCAGGGTCAAGCAGGCAACACAGGGCCATGGTCAAGCCAGCATTTCCGTAAGTGGATCCCACGTCTCAAAGCAGCGCTCAGCTGCGTTGCAATTCGTGCGGAATGCCTAGCTAAGGAGCTGCTCACCGATACGCAGAAAAAGGAATTGTTGGGAGTAGAATATGATTCTGCCAAACACAATGACCGACTGCTAGATATGCTGAGCAGGGGTACAGCTGAGACTTTCCACACTTTCTGTAGTATAGTGCGTAGCACCGAACCTGAAGCAAACTTTTCAAAGTTCCTAGATGACATGAAGTCAGTGGATACCTTTGTTGGAGGTACTGTATAGCAGGAAATTTTCGGACGGAAATATTTTCGGACAAAGCCGAATTTCGACATTACGTACGGATTTTATTTTCGTACAGTGGTGCATGCTAAATACACGTGTTTGCTTGCGGTACGCATGTATAGTGTACATAACTTCACAGGAACAAATTTTAGTACGGAATTAATTTTAGTACAAAAGAGGCCGTGTACGAAATCGTACGAAAATAAATTCCGTCCGAAAATTTCCTGCTATACAGTAATTAGAATTGTTATCAGTGAGGTGACTGAGAGACACTCACAGAATTGTACATAGGGGGTGTAGCTCAACCATCTGTGGTGTAGTGACCATGTACCACCGGCAACCTCATAGCCGCCATTTTGCCTGTTAAGACTATGTAGTAGCTATGACAGCGATTTTCTAGTGTAGTGACGGCACTACGCTGACTGCACAAGAGCTCTACTCCTAGTACGGTATACAGGCAGTATTGCGTGTGCTTGGAATCTTTTTGGTCCATTTCCATACAGGGCATATTGAGGGCACCAAACAGCGCTGAAGTTGTGCAAAAGTGTTTGTCACGATGTGTGTGTGTATGTGTGTGTGTGTGTGTGTGTGTGTGTGTGTGTGTGTGTGTGTTTATGTGTGTTGGGGGAGGGGGGGGGGGGGGGGGTCGATTCACATGGCTTTGCCAGTTGTGTGGATTAGACAGTTATCTTGGGTTTGTCTTGATCTGTTTGAATCAAAATCGGATCCGCTATTGTTGCTATAAAGAGAAAATCTGTGGGTGCACATCCAGTGCATTTGCAGATTTGGTGTGCTTCTCTTGCGACGGGCGTATACATGGTATATGGTACATGGTATGTGCATGCAAGCAGGCATTTTGCAAGGCAGTGAAAAAACACTTCTGGCTATTTGCTGTTCTCTGTGTCCTCACTAACACAGGCAGTGAAGATGCAGCAACTAGAGTAACTCAACGTCAATCAGACCAGTTCAGCAGGAACCCATTACCATCACCCAGCCAAACAACTCGGTCTCCGCCAGCCACAGCACCCAAACCAAAGCCTATTGTTGAACCCCAGGCCACTCACGCATCTCCCTCCAAGCGCAGCAGTATCTCCGAAAGGAAAGCGGCCTTGAATCCAGCCAGCCAGGAAGGGAAACTGGCTGGAACTTTACCTTCGAAACCCAGTCGAGCCCCCCAGCCTCCTACTCGCCCAAAGCCCGTCACTCCCCACAACACATCAAGAACAGTGGAAACTAAGGATCCCGCTACGGTTCACAGTGTGCAGCCGGTAGTGACTTCTGATCCCGTTTCTCCTTCACGACCACCGCTCTGTGACCGCACATTACTAGCGGCAGGCGGTAACCAACCAGATGGCACTGAGGCGGCGACATCTGGCCCAGCTGATCCCAAGTCCTCTCCGAAACCTGGACAAGCTGCTCTTTTGAGGTCTGCTAATGCCTCTACACTTGAATCTAGTTTTGAATGGGATAGGCAAGAAACAGGGAGACTGGTCCCGGATCGAGCCCTAAAGCCAAAACAGCGCCCAAACTCCACGTCAATTGCCAGCACAGCTTGCTTGGACAGGAGCCCAGCCATAGCAGTTGGCAAAGACACGGGCGGACATGCGGTGCAGCTTGTACAGCAACCAGCGCCCCCCGCAGAAAGCTTATCTGCCAAGCACATTGCTCCGCCTAAGACTGGACGCGAGTCGATCGCCAAGACAGTAACAGGAGATTCAGCAACGCCTCCCCGTGCAAACTCTCTGGTAAGAGATATAATTATAAGTTTCAGGAGTCGCAGTGCACTATGCTTAAACTTATAATATAATACAATATTTATGTAATGGAAAACTGAAGTCAGCACAGAGTGGGATCGACATCAATCCACGCTCTTTGCATTTTTCTGGGGCAGGAGGGAAGGGGGGGGGGGGGCAGCTGATGATCAGATGCTTTTACACAACTGTACACTGATACCTGGTTAACAAGTACGCGAGAGGTCCGAGACCGGGCACTACCCAGAACTTTGAATTTACCGTTACTCTGAGTCACATACTGTCAACTTTGCGAATAACGACATTCGGCGGGGCATCAGAAAAGTGTCCTTATTCGCGAAGTGTCCTTATACCCGAAGTCCCATTTAAATGTATGTGAACCTGTAATTTGTATAGTATGACATGTATATCAAAATGAAGCTCTTTTCATGTTTTTATGACATATTACAGCCTTCTTTGATCAGCATAATTCGATTGAGCTCCTTGAAGACCACGTGTTCTGAAAGTATTATTGTCGGCCGTGATTTTTGTTAGAAGGAAATTACACTTCAAGTCAATTTTTACACAAATCCCATTCTGGTAGGTTAATGCCAACACGTTTGTATTTTGGCGGATGTGCGCTGATTCAAATGGGAATGTAGGGTGCAGGGAGCATTGCGGCTTCCTCAAACAAACGCCATTCAACTCAGCAGCCAGAAGATATTTCATGCTCACTTCATTTTGTGTATGCCTATACGTGTGTTGACTTTGCAGGGTCAAGCAGGCAACACAGGGCCATGGTTAAGCCAGCATTTCCGTAAGTGGATCCCACGTCTCAAAGCAGCGCTCAGCTGCGTTGCAATTCGTGCGGAATGCCTAGCTAAGGAGCTGCTCACCGATACGCAGAAAAAGGAATTGTTGGGAGTAGAATATGATTCTGCCAAACACAATGACCGACTGCTAGATATGCTGAGCAGGGGTACAGCTGAGACTTTCCACACTTTCTGTAGTATAGTGCGTAGCACCGAACCTGAAGCAAACTTTTCAAAGTTCCTAGATGACATGAAGTCAGTGGATACCTTTGTTGGAGGTACTGTATAGCAGGAAATTTTCGGACGGAAATATTTTCGGACAAAGCCGAATTTCGACATTACGTACGGATTTTATTTTCGTACAGTGGTGCATGCTAAATACACGTGTTTGCTTGCGGTACGCATGTATAGTGTACATAACTTCACAGGAACAAATTTTAGTACGGAATAAATTTTAGTACAAAAGAGGCCGTGTACGAAATCGTACGAAAATAAATTCCGTCCGAAAATTTCCTGCTATACAGTAATTAGAATTGTTATCAGTGAGGTGACTGAGAGACACTCACAGAATTGTACATAGGGGGTGTAGCTCAACCATCTGTGGTGTAGTGACCATGTACCACCGGCAACCTCATAGCCGCCATTTTGCCTGTTAAAACTATGTAGTACCTATGACAGCGATTTTCTAGTGTAGTGACGGCACTACGCTGACTGCACAAGAGCTCTACTCCTAGTACGGTATACAGGCAGTATTGCGTGTGCTTGGAATCTTTTTGGTCCATTTCCATACAGGGCATATTGATGGCATCAAACAGCGCTGAAGTTGTGCAAAAGTGTTTGTCACGATGTGTGTGTGTGTGTGTGTGTGTGTGTGTGTGTGCATGTGTTTATGTATGTTGGGGGGGGGGGGGGTCGATTTACATGGCTTCGCCAGTTGTGTGGATTAGACAGTTATCTTGGGTTTGTCTTGATCTGTTTCAATCAAAATCGGATCCGCTATCGTTGCTATAAAGAGAAAATCTGTGGGTGCACATGCAGTGCATTTGCAGATTTGGTGTGCTTCTCTTGTGACGGGCGTATACATGGTATATGGTACATGGTGTGTGCATGCAAGCAGGCATTTTGCAAGGCAGTGAAAAAACACTTTGTCTATTTGCTGTTCTCTGTGTCCTCACTAACACAGGCAGTGAAGATGCAGCAACTAGAGTAACTCAACGTCAATCAGACCAGTTCAGCAGAAACCCATTACCATCACCCAGCCAAACAACTCGGTCTCCGCCAGCCACAGCACCCAAACCAAAGCCCATTGTTGAACCCCAGGCCACTCACGCATCGCCCTCCAAGCGCAGCAGTATCTCCGAAAGGTTAGCGGCCTCGAATTCAGCCAGCCAGGAAGGGAAACTGGCTGGAACTTTACCTTCGAAACCTAGTCTAGCCCCCAAGCCTCCCACTCGCCCAAAGCCCGTCACTCCCCACAACACATCAAGAACAGTGGAAACTAAGGATCCCGCTACGGTTCACAGTGTGCAGCCGGTAGTGACTTCTGATCCCGTTTCTCCTCCACGACCATCGCTCTGTGACCGCCCACTACTAGCGGCTGGCGGCAACCAGCCAGATGGCACTGAGACGGCGACATCTGGCCCAGCTGATCCCAAGTCCTCTCCGAAACCTGGACAAGCTGCTCTTTTGAGGTCTGCTAGTGCCTCTACACTTGAATCTAGTTTTGAATGGGATAGGCAAGAAACAGGGAGACTGGTCCCGGATCGAGCCCCAAAGCCAAAACAGCGCCCAAACTCCACGTCAATTGCCAGCACAGCTAGCTTGGCCAGGAGCCCAGCAATAGCAGTTGGCGAAGACACGGGCGGACATGCGGTGCAGCATGGACAGCAACCAGCGCCCCCCGCAGAAGGCTTATCTGCCAAGCACATTGCTCCGCCTAAGACTGGACGCGAGTCGATCGCCAAGACGGTAACAGGAGATTCAGCAACGCCTCCCCGTGCAAACTCTCTGGTAAGAGATAATAATTATAAGTTTCAGGAGTCGCAGTGCACTATGCTTAAACTTATAATATAATACAATATTTTTGTAATGGAAAACTGAAGTAAGCACAGAGTGGGATCGTCATCAATCCGCACTCTTTGCATATTTCTTGAGCAGGAGGGCGGGGGGGGGGGGGGGGGGGGGGGGGCGCAGCTGCTGCAGATGCTTTAACACAACTGTGCACTGATACCTCGTTTACAAGAACGCGAGGGGTCCGAGACCGGGCACTACCCGGAACTTTGAAATTTCTGTTACTCTAAGTCACGTAATAATATAATGTTTTTATGGGGAATGGCCAGAGGTATAGATAGTACGCACAACGCCATTTCCTGCCACTAATCTGCACCAGCTATGACGTAATCGCAGAACTTCACCGTGATAGACATCCATGCAGAAAAATAGTCACACTCTGCACACACTGGGTTTCATGTGCTCTTGGTGCACATCCTGGGTCATGTGATCAAGGGAGTCGTAGGCTGTGGGGAGACGGCACAGGCAACTCTAACCCTATATCTCCCGGGGTTTCAAACCTGGGTGGCTGTTCGAAGTCCCTCTTGGGGCAGGGCCGATATACTATAAAACATGTTATTTTCGGTCAGGATGTAACTTTAAATTCGGTGATTTCGGTAGAGAAACCAAATATAGTCAGACCTCGGTTAACCGCGCAAATCCGTTTTCCACCAAAAAATATCCAGATAGGCGAGGGAACCGGATAACTGAACACACGTACTGAGTCTATCTTTATACGCATGAGGCATATCCAAAGATGTAAAATTGTACTTCCTCCGCGTCATCGAAATTGTCGCAGTTTGACTTTTGATGTAAAACGGGGTATTTACTCACCAGCACTCGTACCACAGGTAAGGAATCGGACATAGGCGACGGTTATCATTAAAGGGAGACGGCAAAGTTTTCATTTCTGTTATTGGAGGCTGAAATTGCTGAACTAGATGTAATTTCTTCGCTAATGTCGCTGCGATGGTACTTTCGACTAGCTGACATCAGTCAGGCGTTGCAGCCTGCACATTTCTCGTGCTTATAGCCATTCACTCAAAGCCTCATCACTGTTTTACCTTAGCTGGGGTGAGACTAACTTCGTGGAACAAGCGGCAACGCTTGGAGAAATATCGAGGGGTCAGCAAACTAAATGCATGCAAGAGCGATAAAATTTGTCGCTCTGGCTCGAGACACTCAGTACATGATTGTATCTGCAAGAGCCGTGTAGACTCTATATGTAGTGCTAGTGATGCATGCGCAGGTGCCGTACCGGTGATGCTGGAAAAGGGTGTGCGCTGGACGTGATAGTACACTTACCTGCATGAGCTGTGACCACACAGCTAAAATAAATGGGCATGCCACAGCTATAAAAAGTTCATTAACCCCTGCAACCGTCAACATGCAAGCACCTCCAAGTGCACCCGCACGCCCAGCTTGGGCACTCGTGCACTCATCATGCAGACAGACGCAAGCGCACACATGCACGCACACGCCACTGGTGTACCCATGCTCTGACACGCAGACACCCGCACAACGTACCGCTCACTATGGCGTGCACAAACATACAATAGACACCTTGGGTTGGGGGTTGCCATGATTTCTTTTGGACAATTCAAATATTCAAGAATATGCTCTTTGATAATAATTGATTGAGTAAAGATGCATGCCTGAAACTAGCATCCGCCCGCCAAGGGCGCACAAATGGCCACCGCGGCCCGCCGCGGGCTAAACTAGCATACTGCCCACCGAGGGCGCCCGAATGGCTAAACTAGCCTACTGCCCACCAAGGGCGCGCAAATGGCCGCCGAGGCCAGCAAACCACCCACCAAGGGCTAAACTAGCATACTGCCCACCGAGGGCGCACACATGGCCGCCGAGGCCAGCAAACCGCCCGCCGAGGGCTAAACTAGCATACTGCCCACCGAGGGCGCACACATGGCCGCCGAGGCCAGCAAACCGCCCGCCGAGGGGTAAACTAGTATACTGCCCACCGAGGGCGCTCAAATGGCCGCCGCGGCCAGCAAACCGCCCGTCGAGGGCTAAACCAGCAGACAACCCATTGAGGGTGCGCAAATTGCCACCGAGGCAAGCAAACTGCCCACCGTGGGCCGATATCATCTTGCCCGCCGAGGGCACACAAACGGCCACCAATCGCCCACCGAGGGCTCACACGACTGCCTGGCATCAGGCGTCACAACATACAGACATAATAGGAGGCCCGTTTGCCCCAAAAAAGATAGTAGTCCTAGAAACCATGGCATCCCGTTCCCCGCAACCCACAACGAGCTAGCTTTGCGACCACAGCTGCAGGTGCCGCGAATTCCTCACAATAATACCGCGCCCGTGCAGTCATACACACACTAGTTATCATGGCGAGCGCCGCTCAATAACTTACAAGCTAGGCATCCCGGCTGCCTGCCGCACATACCGTTCGCATGCAGAGCTTCTCCAGCGGCCCGCCGGCTTTACTTGCCATTCACTTGCCCCACGCTGAGCCATGAAAACACTTTGACTTGACACCGAAACTGCAACTGCAAAGAACGCTCCTTCGCACAAAGACAGCTCAGCAAAACACGTCTCCAAATAATTAGACGCCGGATCCACGATTGTCCATAACATTTTGCCAGGCCACACACGGAGCACACGGCTTAATCACGATTTGGTCACATGACACGCACTCGCAGCACTCCACCACCAGCATGCGTGTGCATGGGCTAACTAGGCTTTGCTGCGCAAAGCCCACATTTTCAAGATCGAGGTGATTCCGCCGACGGTAATCAACCGACCTCGCAACGATCGTGTATTCTTACGTCGTTGGTGGTGAAGTAGAAATCATCCAGAGCGAACAGACGACAAGCATAGCAGCTCCTGTCCTGTGGGGAAAGTCAAAGCGTTTGAGATGAGGCGCGACCAACTGACTTACAACCTTCCTTGAAATATTTCGGAACGATATTTTGCGTCCATTGACATCAGCGACGACGAGGCCTTCATCTCTGGGTGAAAACTCTCAGTCCAACTGTCCTGGAACGTTACTCTAGCCTTCAGACTATCATACTGTGTACTAATTTTGTATGGTTTAGCTTATGGAGTTGTCAGTAACAAGTGACAAGTCACTAGTCAAACTGCGAAAATTTCGATGACGCGGAGGAAGTACGTACAGGTGTATGGGTGCCATGCCGTACAGCTAGCGTGCACATTGTGTGAAACAAGTGATACAAATGGCAACTGCATGCAAGTGAGTGCTACCCGTATGCAGCCAGCAGATCAAGGAGTCATACCAGCCCCGTTTGTTTGTAAAACTCCCTGGTTTCAGCTTCTGAGGGCAACGTGCAACCTAATATGACGAAGCTTCGTACACCTTTGAACCAATTTGTTCACCAAACCATGCACCTGCATGGGGATCGCGAGGTCCAGTTATGTTGTATGCATTATGTAGGCTGTATATCGGTAACCAGGGATTAAAGAGAACCGGATAAGCGAGATCTGACTGTATCTATATTTAGATAACACCTAAAAAGGCACTAGAGTATGTACTGTATGGGAAGGGAAAGCTGGTCACTTAATTCTACAATTCAGAAGAAACCTGTCAGGTTCCTGACACCGAAATTAAAAAATACCCTAAAATAACAAGATCATGTTTACAGTATACACACTGGCATAAAACGTTGCTTGTCTGGTCTCACTTGGTGGTAGTAAGTCAAGGTTGTTCTCTCTGCTACAATTGTGAGCTGGATACGATGGCAGTAATGTCTGAATCATAGTTTGCCCTTTTGAAGAGGTCAAGGTGTCTCTTCATGATCATAATGCAGTTGAATTACTTGCTGGATTTCGGAGGATGTGCGCTGATTCATTTGGGAATGTAGGGTGCAGGGAGCGTTGTGGCTTCCTCGAACAAACACCATTCAACTCAGCATCCAGAAGATATTTCATGCTCACTTCATTTTGTGTATGCCTATATGTGTGTTGACTTTGCAGGGTCAAGCAGGCAACACAGAGCCATGTTCAAGCCAGGAGTTCCGTAAGTGGATCCTAAGTCTCAAAGCAGCGCTCAGCTGCGTTGCAATTCGTGTGGAATGCCTGGCCAAGGGACTACTCACCGATTCGCAGAAGAAGGAATTGATGGGAGTAGAATATGACTTTGCCAAACACAATTACCGACTGCTTAAAGAGGACGTTAAGGCTAAAATCAAAATTTCACCAGTTGTGGTCTTCGGGGTGCTTAGTCGAATGGTAGTGGTCCGAGGATGCTGAGACGCTCCCTTCCTACTTTAATCCCAATCAAACTCGCGCACTTCCACCGAAACTGGGTGACTGCGCCCTACTAGATGGGGATTTGTATGCAAAATGTCACTAAAAGCGCCATGTCGTACTTATGAAAGCACGGATGACCGTATCTGTAATCATTGTGCCAACTAGTAGTCTGTTGGAGGTCTAGCAACTCGGCCCCTTCTGCGGCCTCTAAGGTAGCTTGTGGTCCTTCCTCGCCTCGGATGTCCTCGGTATGCCTCGGCAGGACTCCTGTAGGAACTCTGCGCTCTGGCGAGCAGTACCTCTCCAGAGATGGCAATGAGTCGTCGGTCCTCTTCTGAAAATAGGTCCGACGACCGCAGTTGCTGCACCAGACGTCTCTGCTGGGGAGGGAGGCACTCGTAGGCGATGTCGGTCCTGGCCGACTGGAGTGCGGCCAGCTGAGTGACCGCGACTGTTTCGACTCGGGATCGGAGCTCTTCTGTGCGACTGTCGAGTTGACAGAGACGGATGATGGTGGAGGTATGTCTGGCGAGCTGTCTTGCAGGGCCGCGCCTTCCCGCTGGAGACCAGCGGATGAAGTCGGTAACTCGAGCTGCGGGGGGGGGGGGGGGGGGGGGGGGGAGCGCGACGTCTCGGGTCACGCGCTTGATGTGTCGGGTGAGGATCTCCAAGGTTCTAGTGTCCTTGATTGCGTCGAGTAAGTATAACCCAGCAACTTGGATGGCCAGTCTGGAGGCCACGTCCTGCGTAGCGGTTCCACTGTGGACTGCTTCAGGGTGAGGTCGTCATCAGGATCGGCGCGTTCTGAAGCGAGTGAACCAAGCACAATGTAGGTCGGATGCAGACAAAGTACATGCAACAAATATAATACTTGCGAGTTGGGCCCTTGACGTGTACCGAAGCGGCCAACAAATTGAAGTGAGGTCTTACCCTCACCATTTGGTTCTTATAAGACAAATTTAGGTGCCTTCGATCTATCTATTTTTTCACACTTACGTGCCATCTCACTCTTGCCAAAGCATTTTGGAAGTTGGACTAGTAAGTTTCGGCTCCACAATCCAGTGTGTCGTTACTATAAAGCTTTCATGGCTGAGGTTGTTGGTATGTCTGTTGGCTCTGGGTTCCCAGTACTCAGTAGCCGAGGTTGGTTGGTAAAGTAACACCAATTTCACTTCATGGTACCAGTGCATCTAGTGTCTGCTTCTATCAAAGCAGTGTGCTGTCTATACTGGTTACCCCAGCAGGTGTAGAGGGTGCATATGTCTTGGCCGTTTTATGCCAATGTACTCCGTGTGGTGTAGACCAGGTGTGCATTGGTGGTCGATTCACATGGCTTCGCCAGTTGTGTGGATTCGACAGTTATCTGGCGCAAGTCTTTATCTCTCTCATTCAGATCTTGTCCGCTATCGTTGCTTTAAGAGAAAATCTGTGGGTGCACATCCAGTGCATTTGCAGATTTTCGTGCTTCTCTTGTGACGGGCGTATACATGGTACATGGTGTGTGTGTGTGTGTGTGTGTGTGTGTGTGTGTGTGTGTGTGTGTGTGTGTGTGCATGTGTTGCTATGTCTAATATAGCTGCTCGCTATCATCGCTGCTGCGATGGGCATGTCTGAGGTCTGAGGTGTGTGTGTGTGTGTGTGTGTGTGTGTGTGTGTGTGTGTGTGTGTGTGCGGGTGCGTGCGTGTGTGGAAGCAGGTATTTTCGAGGCAGTGAAATGCTTTCGCTTTTTCTGTTCTCTGTGTCCTCTCTAACACAGGCAGTGAAGATGCAGCAAATAGAGTAACTCGACGTCAACCAGCCCAGTTCTTCAGGAACCCATTACCATCACCCAGCCAAGCAACTAAGTCTCCGCCAGCCCCAGCACCCGAACCAAAGCCTGTTGTTGAACCCCAGGCTACTCACACGTCTCCCTCCAAGCCCGGCAGTGTCTCCGCAAGGAAGGTAGCCTTGAATTCAGCCGGCCAGGAAGGGAAACTGGCTGGAACTCAGCCTTTGAAATCCAGTCAAGCCCCCCAGCTTCCTACTCGCCCAACGCCCGTCACTCCCTACAACACAGCAAGCCCAGTGGAAACTAAGGATCCCGCTACGGTTCACAGAGTGCAGCCGGTAGTGACTTCTGATCCAGTATCTCCTCCACGACCGCTGCTCTGTGACCGCACACTAATAGCGGCTGGCGGTAACCGACCAGATGGCACTCAGGCGGCGACATCCACCCCAGCTGATCCCAAGCCTTCTTCTAAACCTAGACAAGCTGTTCCTTCCAAGTCTGCTAGTGACTCCACACTAGCATCCAGTTTTGAATCGGATAGGTACGAAACAGTCAGACTGGATTCGAATCAAGCACCAGAGCAAAAACCGCACCAAAAGTCTCAAGCTGGTACCAGGCCAGCTAGCTTAGCCATTGACCAAGCAATAGCTGTTGGCAAAGACCCTGATAAACATGCAGTGCAGCATGTCCAGCGACCAGCGCCCCCCGCAGAAACCTTATCTGCCAAGCAAACTGCTCCGTCTAAGACTGGACGCTTTTGGAGCCGCAAGAAGGCAACAGGAGATTCAGCAACGTCTCCCCGGGCAAACTCCCATGTAAGAGACATAATTATAAGTTTCAGGAGTCGCAGTGCGTTCTGCTTAAACTTATTGTTGTAATGGAAAACTGAAGTCACCTAAAAGTCACTGGAGTATGTACTGTACGCAAAGGGAAAGCTGATTACTCAATTCTACATTTCACCAGAAACCTGTCAGGTTCCTGACACCGAAATTAAAAAAAACCTAAAATAACAATAATCATGTTTACAGTATACACACTGGCATAAAACGTTGCTTGTCTGGTCTCACTTGGTGGTAGTAAGTCAAGGTCGTTCTCTCTGCTACAATTGTGAGCTGGGTACGACGGCAGTAATTTCAGAATCATAGTTTGCCCTTTTGATGAGGTCAAGGCGTTTCTTCATGATCATAATGCAGTTGAATTACTTGCTGGTGCATTCATAAGTGGTGAGTACCACCAGCCTGTTCATTTCAAAGAATAGACTGGTGTTGAAAGAGTCATGGACACGAGGTTGTGGTCCAGTGGTAGAAAGGGTTGTATGACGTATTACAGTCTTCTTTGATCAGCATGTAAATAATTAGAGAACACTGTGGTAAATCGACTGCTTGTATTGTTACAATAGTTCTGACGATATTAGTTATTTGATTGTATTCTTACTTTGTAGCTGCGTCCAGGCTCGTTGGAATTCTCATTACGGACTCCATTCTAGTTTCGAAGAGATTCATATTCTTGTGCATTTGTTCTCAAACAAATTTCTCGTCTTGTGCATTTGTTCTCAAACAAATTCTTCGTAGTATTTGCAGTAGTCTCGCTCTCTTTGATTTGTTTGACTCGCGCGTGACTTTCCTTCCTTTTCTTTTTGTCATGTATGACGTATCGGTATGATGTGAGTATGTACGCACTCTGTTTATGACCACGTGACTGCATGCTCACGTGGAACTACAGTCAGTAGGCTAGTGCATTTTAGCGACTGCAGCGATCCGATCTTCTTGCTGCAGCGCTGTTTCTTCTTCTTCACTTGTGTCTTTTCTTTGGTCGCTGCACTAGTTTGTGATTACCATGATTACGCGTCAATGCACGACATGCTCGCCATTTTGTGCATGTCCTTTTTCCTGATGGATCTTGGATCTCGTGGAAAAAGAACAGTTTCTTTTCTCCCAACTTTACTATTATTTCAATATTTCAACTCTCTTGATTCTTGTTGATAGTTGTGGCTCAGTTCATGTGCGAGTGTGCTGGAGTGCTAGCTGGAAGAGATAGAGAGCATAGTGGTGGAGTAACAACGTGGTGCCGAAACCCCGCTGGTTTGGAACGGAGAATACGAGCGTGGTTTCGAATTGGAATTTTCTTGAATTAGTAAATTGTGTCCGGATCGATCGTTCACTGACGTGTCGTGTGTAGTTCGCTGAGCACTGGTAGAGTGCTGACGAAGCGTGCTGTTGCGGCCTGGTAGTCGATGCCTCCTAGACTTAGGAACGCTCGAGGCAGGGGTATCAGTAGCATACCGAAAACTCCGCAGGCGCCTGGACATCGTGATCGTGACATTGAAAATTTGTTGACTCCTGGGAGTCCTGAGGATAGTACATCCGTGGTATCCAGGCACAGTGAAGGTGGTGCTGATCATACTAGTGTTAGTGACAGTGCGTCTTCTGTCATCAGTGAAATGTTGTCACTTAAGTTGGATGGATTCGTGAAGCCGTATCGTGGCCGAGTGGACGACTTCGACATGTTTTGGTCGAAGTTTGAAGTACTGGCAGATATATCGGGGTGGACAAGCACGGAGCAACAGATGAAACGGTTGCCGCTATTCTTGGAGGGCGAAGCCCACCGTGTGTTCTCCAAACTGAGTGAGACGGAGAAGCGAGATAAGGATGCAGTGAGGAGCATCCTGCGGATGTCCTTCTGCGTAAGCCGCAGTGAGGCGTACCGCTTGTTTAAGCAGCGGCAGCTGAAAGTGGACGAAAGTCCAGAAGTATATGTCGCCGAGCTGTGCCATCTGTTAGAGCTGTCTGGACATAAGAGTGACAGCGATACCGATCCTGTGGTGATCGAGCAGCTGTTGGCCGGATTGCCAATTGAGTTTGCAAAGGATGTCCGTTTGTCCATGGCAGGCAGGGACCTGAAGGTGTCTGAATGCCTTGATAGGATCCGGGCACTGCGATCAGCCACAGGCGCCAGAGTTGGTGCAGTGTCCGCAGCTGCCACATATGTGCAAGACAGTGTTGCCACACCATCACCGCGGCTTTGCCACCATTGTGGAGAACCGGGCCATTTCAAAAGGCATTGCCCGAAGTTATCCCGAGCAGGGAATGGTCACGCGGCCAAGCAAGAGCACCGGCGCAAGGACCCGTTCTGCCACTTCTGTGACAAGAAAGGGCACGTCAAGAAGGACTGCTTGCTGAGGAAGAAGTGGCTGGATACACAGGCTAGCTCAGAAGTTGCTAGGGCCTCGGTGCACTCCAAGGACGTGTACCTCCTGGCATCTGCATCGCCATCGTGCCCGAAGCTACCTCGTGTGTTTGTTGAATGTGCTGGTCCTGACGCGAGTAACAGTGTGCGTGCTGCAGCTGTGATAGACACTGGATCCACTGGCACGTTAGTGACAGAAGCACTGCTGCATCACCTTGGTCTCGATGTGACGCCATTGACCAATAATGACGGCATCGTAGCACTGGATGGCAACACCATGCAGATGTGTGGCACAGTGGCCCTCAAGTTTTGGAGACACGACGGACCGGTGAGCATTCATGAAGTGCTATTGAATGCTGTCGTTGTGCCTGATTTATGTGTACTGGCCGCCGATGTACTGATTGGCATTGACCTGGTGACCTGGTGACCTGGTGACCTTGTGTGGGCGCCTGTCTGTAGAGTATGCTAATGATCAGCTTGTGCGTGTCGTAATTGGGCCCGGTCCAGCCCATGCAGATAGTTGCCTGTCGGTGTCAGTAGCATCAGCAGCTGTGCAGCCTCCTAGCCAGCCTACACGTGTACATGTGTATGAGGATCAGCTGACCGACGGTATGACCCCTAGTGCTGACAAAGAAATTCTCCAGCCAGTCGCCGATGACTCGCCAATGTCTGCAGCTCCGACGCGCCCGCCTTCGAAGCTGTCGCATCATGTCCATGTAGAGACTCACGGCAACGATGTCATCCTGACGGTTGATGACGGCGAGATGCGTTGGATGTCGGCTGAGAAGCGTTGGGAGGTCAAGTGGGTATGGAAGTCTGGTGAAGAACCCAATGGCCGTGTTGGTCCTGGTATCAGCGAGTACCCTCGGAAGAAAATTACCGCGGCAGAGGAGACGCAATTCTGCTCTGCTGTAGATGAGTGGATTGAGCGAGGCTGGCTGGTGAAGCACGACGCTGACACCCATGGTCGCCCTGCCTGTGTCTTGCCATTGATGGCTGTGAGTCAGCCGCACAAGACGTCTACGCCTGTGCGTCCGGTGTTAGATTATCGCCACCTGAATAAGCTGTTGGTGTCCCACCCTGGCACTAAGTCGCCTGTGTGCTCCGAGACGTTGCGCCAGTGGAGGCTCAAGGGTGAAGCTGATGAATTTGAGTTAGTGGACATTACCAAGGCGTACTTGCAAATCCATGTCAGCCCGGAATTACTACGGTTCCAAGTTGTCGAGTGGCGTGGTGTTCGCTACGTGATGACGCGCATGGCGTTTGGCCTGAGTGTGGCGCCGAAGTTCATGGACACCATCATCAAGTACGCTACCGGCAGCTTGCCCGATACAGATAACTATGCCGACGACATCATTGTCCCCAAGAGTCAACGGACTGTGTTGACAGAACAGCTCGCTAGCTACAGCCTGCCAACTAAGCCTGCTATGGAGATGTCGGTTGTACGGGTTCTAGGACTGCAGCTCAACGAGTCTGATGATGGTTGAGTGCGCTGGTCTCGGCGTGATGAGTTGCATGTCGCATTTGCTGATGTCACGACGAAACGTGAGCTCTACAAGTGGTGTGGCCAGTTGACGAGCCACTACCCTGTTGCGTCATGGCTTCGTCCTCATTGTAGTTGGCTGAAGCGTTTGGCATGTCTGTAGAAGCTTGGCTGGGACGACCCGTTGCCTGCAGATCTCGTTCAACGCTGCATGAGTCTCGCCTGCCGTTTAAGATCCTGCTACCGGTGTGTGGCACGTAGACCCCAACGGTGAAAGCCAATGCCAGGTGTGGTGCGATGCGTCTGATATTGCTGTCGGCGTGGCGTTGGAGGTCGGTGGTGACATCGTCGAGGATGGTTCGTGGCTTCGTAAGCCTGACGACAAGCGGCATATTAACATTGCTGAATTGGAAGCCGCTGTCGAAGGCATTTCCCTTGCCGCTAAGTGGGGAGTTTCCCGTTTCAAGCTGTTGACTGACTCTAAGCCAGTGGCAGCATGGCTGACGCAAGTAGTAACCAACTCCAAACGTGTGAAGACTGGTGGTCTGCAAGAGCTGCTTGTGCGTCGTCGCCTCCAGATCATCGATGATCTCATCGCTACGCTAGGTCTGACGATCGAGGTCGTGTGGATTCCGACGAACGAGAACCATGCTGATCAGCTGACGCGTGTCCCGACTGACTGGATCAAGTATGCAAAGGCTCTTGCACCGACTGATGTTGTTGCCGCCTGCCTGTCTGTGGTTGGCCCTGTCACGTTAGCTCAGATACGTGAAGGCCAGAAGGTGGATCCCACCATTCGAGCTGCTGTCGCTCAATTGGAGTGTGGTGAGTTGGTCTCCATTCCTGAGTTCATAAAGGTGTGTGATCAATTGCTTGTTGATGATGGTATGTCAGTGCGTAGAATCAAGTTGCCTATTGATGGTTTGGTGCCTGTGCCAGTTATTCCTACGTCTTTGCAACATGCTGTCGTCTCTTCTGTTCATGTGAATTCTGGCCATGGTAATTGGCGAATGATGTATGATCTGCTTCGTTCTAAGTGCTATTTCCCTTGTATGTCGTCGTTGTGCCTTGAGTTTGTCCGGCAGTGTCAAGCTTGTGTTTCCGCCAGTAGTAAGAGTGGTCCGACGGCTGATCCCGCGCGCCCAGATTTGCCCGGTAAGCCTTGGCAGGAGATTGTTATTGATACTCTCGAACTTGGTTCCGACCGCAGTGGGCGTTTTCATTGTGTTCTTGTGATTGTTGATGTGTTTACTAAATGGGTCGAGGTTGTTCCCCTACGTGCGCATGATGGTCAGTCAGTTGCGGAAGCTGTGACCGATGTTTGTTTGAAGTGGGGCTCCCCAGAAGTTGTTCGTATGGACAATGGTACTGAATTTGTGAATGGCATTGTCGAGTCATTGTTTCGTGTGTTTGGCACGAAGGTGCGTACTGGTGCAGTTAGGCATCCCCAGTCTCAGGGTTCTGCTGAGCGATTTAATCGCTTTTTGTTGACCCTCATTCGCAAGATGCTCGACTCTTCGAGTGATTGGAAGTCTGAGTTGCCTGTGCTGTTGCACTACTACCGTACGCGACTCCATGCCGCGATGGGTCTGTCCCCAATGGAAGCTATGTGTGGATGGCTTCCACGTCAGTTAATTGTTGACGAGTCTGCTGTTGGTTCTAGCCTTAGTGTTTGGGTGGACAGCCTTGCTGGTCGGTCCGCTCGTATTCGTGACTTTGTCGAAGCTGAGTTGTCGTCTCGTGATTTTGTTGAGGGCAGCGCTTCCAATCCATATGCTGTCGGTGATGCTGTTTTGCTCCGTCACCCCGCTCGTTCGCAGAAGCGCTTGCCACCGTTCGAAGCTGGGTGGAAGGTCACCGAGATCCTTGGTCCTGGTTCCGTGCGTGTGTGTCGTTCTGTGGATGGTTTTGATCAACAGAAGTCTGTTAACATTCAGTTGATTAAACCTGCTGCTGAATCTGTGTTGTCGTGTGAGTCTGGTTCTGTGCCTGCGTCGCCCGTGCAGTGTGATCTCGATGTTGAGCCGTTGGCTGTCGCCGATCGTAGTCTGCGTAACCGTCGTCATATCCAACGCCCGAGTCGCTACATCGATTGACACTAGTGTTACCTGGGGGACTGGTGTAAATATAGAGATAACACTGTGGTAAATCGACTGCTTGTATTGTTACAATAGTTCTGATGATATTAGTTATTTGATTGTATTCTAACTTTGTAGCTGCGTCCAGGCTCGTTGGAATTCTCATTACGGACTCCATTCTAGTTTCGAAGAGATTCATATTCTTGTGCATTTGTTCTCAAACAAATTCCTCGTCTTGTGCATTTGTTCTCAAACAAATTCTTCGTAGTATTTGCAGTAGTCTCGCGCTCTTTGATTTGTTTGACTCGCGCGTGACTTTCCTTTCTTTTCTTTTTGTCATGTATGACGTATCGGTATGACGTGAGTGTGTACGCACTCTGTTTATGACCACGTGACTGCATGCTCACGTGGAACTACAGTCAGTAGGCTAGTGCATTTTAGCGACTGCAGCGATCCGATCTTCTTGCTGCAGCGCTGTTTCTTCTTCTTCACTTGTGTCTTTTCTTTGGTCGCTGCACTAGTTTGTGATTACCATGAATACGCGTCAATGGACGACATGCTCGCCATTTTGTGCATGTCCTTTTTCCTGATGGATCTTGGATCTCGTGGAAAAAGAACAGTTTCTTTTCTCCCAACTTTACTACTATTTCAATATTTCAACTCTCTTGATTCCTTGTTGATAGTTGTGGCTCAGTTCATGTGCGAGTGTGCTGGAGTGCTAGCTGGAAGAGATAGAGAGCATAGTGGTGGAGTAACACGCCGTACTTCCCCTTTGTACTATAAAGCAAGGTGCTGAAAACTATTACTTCATATCCGATAACTTTCGTACGAAGTATCTCTGCCTGTGAAGAAGAGGTTGACGTTACTCCCGCAATATTTGGGGACTGATTGTGTGCTGCTCCCTATGTGGGAGCTCGCGTTTTTCCTGCCGACTTAAATTCTCACTTGACTGACTCATGACTGCCATCCAGAATTCAAGTCAGCAGGGGAAAACACCAGCTACCACCTAGGGAGCAACACACAGTTCCTATGAAAAAAAAAAAGGGTTTACTGGGTGTTAGCGGCTGTCGTGATTTCCCTTCGGGAACGGACACGATAATTTACATTTTTCAATATGGAAGAGAGAGGATCCTAGTGGAAAATTTTGTGACTCAAAGTGTCATGCCGTAGCAATCATCAGACGACTTGTTTGTCAACTTGTCTGATGATTGCTTCGGCATGAAACTTTGATTAAGAAAGTTGTAGACATCACGCAACTGTATTTTTGAAGAATAGGGGGTTTGTCAACTTCCAACCGCTCTATTCAATTGCTTTTCACAATCTGTGCATGCGCTGCATTAAAAAATTCTTTGTTGTGATGTTGGAAAAATTAGTGACGTTTCGGGCCAGTCACCCATCGTCAGAGTAATTTCCAAGGGGCGAACCTGGCCTTTTTATAGCGAAAGCAAGCGAGAGCGTATGTATGTCCATGTACAAAAAAATAAACGAAACACACCATGAAACTTTGAGTCACAATATTTTTCGACTTGGATCCTCTCTCTGCCATACGCAGAAGCTCTGCACCCTGCGCACAAAGTACTGTTTAGGCAGCGTGCCACACTTTTTCAAGGGTACTTATAGTGTATACTGGACTTTCACTGCGTATTGAAACAAATCACACCAGTGAGAAAAGAGTTTTGCACGTCTGAAAGTGTAGTGTAGATGTTCTGCAATAACAAACCGCTTCCCGTAAATCACACATGCAGGTTTCTACCGGCTATTTGCTGCTAGTTTTCTTCTGTAGCGGAAGCGTGCTGGCTATTTGCCTACGGAGGCGGAATTGAACTGCCCGTGTGCCGGTCGGTTCTTAATTTCATGCTCGTGTCGCTTATGTATGTTGACTTTGCAGAGCCAAGCGGGCAACACAGGGCCATGGTCAAGTCGAGTGTTCCGCAAGTGGATCCCACGCCTCCAAGCAACGCTCAGCTGCAGCACAATCCGCATGGAATGCCTGGGCAAAGATTTGATCTCCGATATGCAGAAGAAGGAATTGATGGCGATAAAAGATTCTGCCACACACAATGAGCTTCTCCTAGATATGCTGAGCAGGGGTACAGCTAAGACTTTCCACATTTTCTGTAGTATTGTGCGTAGCGCCGAACCTGAAGCAAACTTTTCAAAGTTCCTAGATGACATGCAGTCAGTGGATACCTTTGTTGCAGGTAAGTAGAAACTGTATCAGTCAGGTGACTGAGAGACACTCACATAATTGTATTACATGTCCAGCAAGTACTGTTGGATACCATTAGTACTTGGGTGACAATCTGAGAAACGTTCATGTTTGGAAAAGAAGAAATCAAGACCCTGGTGTTCCAGCCTCAATGCCAACTTGGGCAAGCCACTAAACTTCCCTGGCTTCAGCTGACTATTTTGTGTAATGTGGAACCTACAAGAAGTTGAGCAGAGGAAGGTGGTGAGGGGGCGGTGTGTTGGGACGCATTGGGTTGGGATACGTTGGGGTGGGGAACAATAGGCATGGGCTCCGAGTGGGACACAAGATGCCCACACCTCAGAAGGTTTTGGATTCCAAGGACGCATGGAGAGTTGGCCTTTCCCAGGATATCCAAACACCAGCGGCTGTACTGCGTAGCTGTGTCTTGTGGTGTTGTACATTCTGGCTGAAGAAGCTGCAGGTCTTTGCCAAGCATATTAACAACTGGATTTTTTGTCCTTCTACCGGTATGTTTGGTGGCGCATGCGTGTGTGGTCTCCAGTTTCTCCGGAATGCCAAAAAGACTGCAATAAAGTAGTAGACCTGATGAAAGAGTTCTCAGCACCGGAACGTCAACGGGTGGTCCACACTGCCGAGGATGTGGCACGAATGCGCACGTCACAGACCGTCCTTGACAAGAGAAAGAAACCCATCCACGTACCACAGCCAACCTCGCCTGTGAACGTAGACTTGCTGAGCATGCGGAACATGGGACAAGGTAGGCGCAGGGCTAGGAGAGAGGCTAAACTGCACGTTAAATTTTGACGTGATGTGCAATTCTACGTCAAACGGGTCCTCGACGTGAGCTGCAGGTCTCTCACGTTGTTTTCCAAGGCGTGGGCCAAATAACGCGTTACGTCAAAAATAACATGCAGCTTATCCCTCTCTTTTATCTACTGGTGTAGTGTTTGAACCCGGACCTGGAGCCAATGTTATCATGGAAAAAGAGGACAAAATATGCATTCAATCTACACGTAGCAGTATGTGCATTGTCCCAGTGATTGCATTTTCCCACAGTTGGAGACATCTGTTAGTGATGGTTTTACTCTCTCATTGTTCTTGTACATTGCAAGTACATCGTGTGTACTAAGCCATGACTCGCATATGAACTTGAGGGCAAGGTGACTTCTACCCAATGTAATAATTATGCTGTCCGCTAGAAATTTCAAATTAATTTCAGTTTTTATCGTCCCGGTTCTGCTTTGGTCTTGCTCAGAACAACGGCGAGCAGTATTGACTGAAATCGACCGCTTGGCGTCCAGCGCTAGCATCACTGATGACCGTGAGGCACAGGAATGGCAGTACCAGGGTCAGGTTACACGGGCGGACGGCCAAGTTGGTAAGCAATAGTTCTTACCTGTCTCTAGTGCATCAGCATGATAATTAGTTTGCAGATTGGTATTATTTCACCAACACCATTCCCATCACCCCACTGGATGATGTGCCAGCTGGTGAAATGCATGGTGCTCTCCCCAGGGCTTTGTGGGTGCCGCATACTCTGTCTTCTCTGTAATGCTGTTCAAAGCAGTCCCTGATACATCGCTGTCTCTCCCACATACATCTCTCCATGAAACAAACAGAGCATTGAGTAGATAACATCCGGCTACATAAACTGGCCGTCACTCGTACCAACATCACTTTCACAACATTCCCCTTTGCCTCCACCTTCTCTTCTCCTTTCTGTACACCTCTCGGGAGGGGTGGGGGTGGGGGGGGGGGGGGGGGGGGAGGGAGGGGGACACTCATGACTGGTGAATGAAGACAACACCAGCATATCTTTCAGAGACCTACCAGGCTGAAAAACACCACACGTGTTCTTGTTGTCTGGCAATCGTCATGGACCAAACTGCAATCACTGACGAAGAGAAGCTTTTAAAGGATGGGCGTGAATGTATTCTCGGTGCCGCTGGTGGCTTGTCTTGGCATGGGTTCGCTCAAACCTCTACTTCCTCCTCTCAATTGTCTTGTAAAACTGATCTGAACTGGCTTTCACTGTGTTCGGTGTGTCTGCCAATTTCGCCTCTTTCTCGTCTGTCGCAGACATATCGCCAGCTGATATACATAGAGAGTTAAGTAAGCACCCTTGTTTCATCAGCATCGGCACTGAATCTGCAAGGGACAACCGTAGCATTTCAGAGACCAAGCAGTATTTGAAGGATACTGGCTTCATCGACGAGAACACTGTCGTCACAGAGACCACTGGCTATCTCGAGGTGCTAGTGAGCGTGCCTGTGAACATACTGGCCATTCGTGGCAGCAAACGACTGAAGTTTACAGGTCAGCATTCGTATGCTAGCATGATTGCGTGATTGTTTGATAAGGGTGGGTGAGTGGGTGGGTGAGTGAGTGGGTGAGTGTGTAATGGTGTAATGGTGGGTGTAAGGGTGGTTGCGTGTAGATGTGAGTGTGGTTGCGTGTGGGTGTAAGGGTGGTTGCGTGTGGATGTGAGTGTGGGAGGGTGTGGGCATTTTCCATATTCGGCCAAAACAAAAACCTTGTTTACGGTCGCCGACCGGGTCATATTCTCCTAAGTCTGAAACTTATTTTGGTCTGCATAAGCGTACAATAGGTGCCCGAGGAGCCTGTAAGTAGCTTCCAAAACGGCTTATTTACACCATGCATGCATGCCTACATCCAGTACTAGACATCCAGTACTAGACATCCAGTACTAGACATCCAGTACTAGACATCCAGTACTAGACATCCAGTACTAGACATCCAGTACTAGACATCCAGTACTAGACATCCAGTACTAGACATCCAGTACTAGACATCCAGTACTAGACATCCAGTACTAGACATCCAGTACTAGACATCCAGTACTAGACATCCAGTACTAGACATCCAGTACTAGACATCCAGTACTAGACACCCAGTACTAGACATCCAGTACTAGACATCCAGTACTAGACATCCAGTACTAGACATCCAGTACTAGACATCCAGTACTAGACATCCAGTACTAGACATCCAGTACTAGACATCCAGTACTAGACATCCAGTACTAGACATCCAGTACTAGACATCCAGTACTAGACATCCAGTACTAGACATCCAGTACTAGACATCCAGTACCAGACATCCAGTACAAGACATCCAGTACTAGACATCCAGTACTAGACATCCAGTACTAGACATCCAGTACAGGTGGACTTCCAGTACTAGACATCCAGTACAGGTGGACTTCCAGTACTAGACATCCAGTACTAGACATCCAGTACTAGACATCCAGGTTGTAAGGAGTACCCAGCCTGTATGAGTACAGTCAGTGAACTGTGACATTGATCCATACCATGTGATTTATTATACATGTGCATCACAGAAGTACATGAATGTATGTTCATGCTTTTGCCCGTCACATATCATGATGTAAGCATCAGGATCATTGATCATAGCAACCAAAATTTTGCCCAAAAAGGTCTTTTCCCCGGCCGAGCGAGTCTGTTTTGGGGGGGGGGGGGGGGGGGGTGCCAACCTGAAGCAAGCTTATTTTGTATGGCCACGTGACCAAGTGATCTCACACTCCCACTCTCACACCCAGCATCATATTTCCGGTGTCCTTTTCTTTCTTTGCATCATCATTTTATGCGGTGAATAAAAACGTGCTTCCAAGTGATCAGATGTGAACAGCAAACAGGCATAGGTTAACTTATACATAGGAGCATACATCAATTAATGTGTATTGTCAACTCTTCGTACACTTCAGATAGTATTCAGTATGTGTCCTGTCTGTCCTGCAGATCGATGGTCCATGTACAAAAGCTTCATCTTGTTCTTAACGAAGTTTTAATTTTAGTGCTAGAGTAGGAGTGAATAATATCCTCCATATGGTTAACAGTACAAACCAGTGATGAGGGGATGCGCCCTTCCTTCATTCGTTAGTACTTGCATGAAAAATACAATCACCCCTTTCAGTCAAACTTCCCCATTTTCTTCTTTATTCGGTCTCTGACTTGATGGATGTGTACATGCGTGAACGTGCATGTGTCACTGTGCATGCATATACACTGTTATTATTCTGAAACAGATCAGAGGTCGTCTATAGTGAAGTTCATCATCGACTGTGAATATAATCACACGGTCCCGAGTTTCATTGAAAGAGTCGTACGTAATCTCCGCAATCTTCTTGGTGATGAGAGTATCCATGCCGACGGTGTACACGGCGAGAGCGGAGGCACAGCAGTGTTTGTACAGATGTCTGCCAAGGCTCATGCAAGGCTTTGGGAGTTCTGTAAGGGTCAATCTAGCCTGCTCGCTGGTCTGCACATTCTCGAAGTGTCAACTGTGGACGGAGCAGTTGTCTTCAATTTGCGTCCCACTGCATGCAGTGACGAAGGTAAGACGGATTGGTGCAGTAAGAAATTACGAGGAATGCACCGATAGCAGCGAGTCTACTCCTAAGCATAATCCCATATATACAGCAAGTCAACTCCTATTAAAGCGTTAGTCCCATGATGATAAGGGAGTCAGTTAATTCCTAAGCCTTAGTTCCATGATGATAGGGAGGTCATCACTAGTCAACAGACGACTGGCTGTCGTCTGGGAAAGTGGTTGGTGCAGGCATGTTTCGGTCCATAATGTTTGTCCGCACACAAGTTTTCTAGGAGACTCTTTTGGCAGAACGAAACAGCTTCCTTGATATGCTTCAATTTATCTCTGGAGCAAAAGGTCCGAAACTCTTTGCTTTCTTGTTCAGGTATTAATCCTGACGACCAGAAGCGCTTGGTTGAAGAGTTCTCCGGGAGATTTCCATCCTTGGACCAGGATGATCTGTCTGTCGCTGTGGCTGACCAACCAGACGTTGAGCATGCAGTGATTGCAGCGACCAAGCTCGTCTTCGATGAAGGCGGAGCATGCTTGAATGCACTGCCTGAGATTCTTGGTGGTGAGTTTCAATACCATTGTTTTATGGTTGTGTTGCATGTACTGTGTCTATTGGGCCTTCTGTCTATGTTGAGAACTGCTGTGCATCAGCGATAATATTTACATCGTGTTATAAAAGCACAAACGCCGTATCATTTTGGCAATGTCACTGGGACCACAATGAAGAGAAATAGTGCGTATTGCCGCATCGGAATAATCGGAGGACGGTTTGGTGCATGTACAGTCAAATCTGCCGTTAGCGACCTCTGCTGTAGGCGACCATCTACCGTTAGCGACCGATTTTCCGTGCACCGACGGTTTCACATACAAACTGATCTGTCCAGAGCGACCATCTGCTGTGCGCGACCAGCGACCGCGATTTCATGCACGGTGGCTGCATTCAAATCTGCTGTAAGCGACCGCGACCCAGGTTCAGTAAGGTGCGAAACTGTACTTGCCAGTGCGCTGTCAACTGCAAAGTGTGAAAATGCGCTGTCTTGCAAGTGCGATCGACTGGCGCCTGGCCTGTACTGAGGCTGTGCTGTAGCTCTCAAGTCCAGGCAGTGTCGATCTACTGCCGTGTCGCATACGCGTGCTATACGGGTATGGTCGTCGTTGAATATCCAATAAAATGATATTAAAAATCACATTATTCTCGTCGATTTGAGTACATGGAAGCATATACCTGGTATGCCGGATTTACCATACATCTGCCGTAAGAGACCATCTGCCGGAAGCGACCGCTTTTTCTTGCACCAAGGGGCGGTCGATTACGACAGATTTGACTGTATTGATGAACTTGTGGTCCTTCAGAAAAGCCTCCCTTTGTACTGAACCTCCCGAGGCCATTGTGCTGCAAGTAGAATTTTCAGCAAGTCTGTGGAGGGTATTCCCCTATAAAGGTGATGTGTGTGCGTGGGGAGGGGGGGGGGACATATGAATCTCTCGCATCTTAGCACCAGCAACGTTACTCGCTGTTATGCGGGATTCACAGAAGCATATTTACGATGCAATGCGCAGTGCGACATCCACGAAATTAGGAAATTCTCTAAACGCACCGATGCACAGCTCACTCAGCCGTCACAACTGGCCCATCGCAGAAGTAGAGCTTGCCACTGCTTGGCTCAACTTCTGCCGTGTGACATGCGATGTGATGTACGATTTTGACCTTTGCAACAAAGTTGTACGAAATGTTCAAGAGTTGCTTGCAGATTTGTACAAGTTGTACCCGACTACACAAATGCCACAGTAACGTACGCATTTGCTTTGAGCTTTGAGGCACGTCAGCAAGGCGTCGTCTACTTCTGTTATTGGTAATTTGTGAGTATGCATCGCACTGCGGTGTAGCAGACCATGTTGTATCGCGCATAGCATTGCAAGAATGCTTCTAAGAATGCCACCTAAGATGTAAGGAGAACAAGTGACCCTGCAGTCGTAAAATTATGCTTTGCCTTTCCTCTTGCGGTCTTTCTTAGGTGTAGCGGCAAGAAAGGCAACTTCGACCTCTGCTCACGTTGACCGTAAGTGCACCAATATGGCTGTGATGAAACCTTGGTCCATCACAATGCACACGTGTACATAATGTGGGTGTGGGTGTGTGGGTGTGTGTGTGTGTGTGTGGGTGTGGGTGTGTGGGTGCGTGCGTGCGTGCATGCGTGCGTGTGTGTGTATGTGTGTGTGTTCGGTAGGCGTAATACATGTGCTGTTCTTTCTGGCCTCCCTCATGTCGCTCCGATGGGAATTTCACAGGACCGTCAAATTATCTTGGTTTTTCATTTACATTGTAGTTTCAAGAAAGTGGCACCTCCGAATGTTGCAGCTGCTGCTTTCTGCCGAATAACTGACACTTGGCTGACCAACAGCTGCTGCCGTCTGGAGCACACGAGCAGCACGTTGAGCAAGGAGTGGTACTTTCTTGCAGGTTTGCCGAGTGGAAGGTTCGACGTGCTCCTGGTATGCTTAAGACGGCTATCGTGTGTCAGTCAAGTGTCAAGTCACTCGGCAGGAACGCCAACACTTGTATCTGTCACAAACAGCATTTTCGAGCAAGAGAATTCAGAATGTTGTGTACCTCAAAAAAGCGATGTTATCATCACAGTACGGAATAGTGGTAGCAACATCGGGACAGTGCAGAGAAATGCCTCAGGCTTGAATCTGTTTTCCTGCCATTCTTTTTTTCATTTCTTATTTTGTCTCCTTTCTTGCAGATCCTGAAGAGGCCATTTCAAAACGTGTCTCTGCCAATTCTGAACACGCAGCAGAAATCCAGGGAGCTGACAATGAGCTGTCTCTCCGGCCGCAACTTCAGTCCCAGGTAAGAAGAGACCAGATGCAAGCATCATAGGTAACGCAAGGAAAGATTTAGGTCTGGTCCTGTTAGGTGGGGGGAAGGGACATGTACCCCTTGAAACATTTGACGTGGAGTATGGTGCGCTGTTGTATTTCATTGAACTCTGAGAAATAGAAATTTAACCCATCCAGTGCCAAGGACGAGATTACTCGTCCTACAGACCCCCACGCGATTGGCCAAGGACGACTCGTCCTCGTAGTGCGCACTACTATATCTCACTGGCCATGCACTACGATCTAGCTTGGCCGATTGTGGCTCTTCGAGGGGAAACTAGCGGTTTTCTCCTACTGAATAAGACCTCACTCGCCGTGTTTGAGTAAGTATGGGCACGGGAGCATACATTCAAAGCGCGAGCGCGAAAAAGATAATTCGATTTAGAAAAAATTAGATTGATAGAACGTGCTTTAGGTCTCTCTAGTTGTCACTCAGACACGGCGAGTTGCCGCATGCCGGCTGAAGAGGTGCTCCAGTCCATCATGGACTCGGACAGTGATGACTGGAGCTGCGATAGTGAAGGCGATGACTCGGATGCGGACACAGCCGTCTGCGATCGTGACGGAACGAATTTCGCGGACGAGTCTGCCTTAGTCGATGTGGTACCTACTGCTGTGGTCGCCTTGGACGGCCCTGAGGATTTCGGAGATGTCGATGTAGAGCTTGAACAGGGCACAGCAGCACAAGCTACACCAGCGCAGGACAAGTCGGTTTGAGTTGCTACGACTAATTTGAAAAAATCAGATTTTTCATGAAAATGGCACGGCCAACCGCGTGCATCTGGCCTGGCACTGAAAGGGTTAATGCAATCAAATTTGTAAGAAGAGGTTCATGGCAACTTTAGTGATACTCAAATCTTTATTTTCAATTAAATGTGGATGGTCAGGATCCAACATTATTATTCAACAAGGGAAAACTTCCGAACAGAAAGAAGCATAATATTATGTGAATGTCACCTACCCATGTCTAACTGTGGAAAACGTTACTTTTATGAACCATTGTCATTGCATAGCCAACCTCTTCTTCTACTTCCTCCTCCTCCTCCTCTTCTTCCCCATCCCTGTGCACCCCATGTACTGTTGAGACAAAAATGATAAAAACCAACCAAACAAAACACTCCTCCTCCTCCGAACTAGCATTCGTCTGCTCCACTCTCTATTTATATTTGGGCAAAAGACACAATGCACAATATTCTTCACTATTAGGGTATGGTTGCAACTTGCAGTGAGGAGTGGTGTATTTCGCAAGTAGCATACCCTGTCTGAAAACGCCTGCCATATCTTGATCAGAGCTGTGCTGGAAAATGTGCTTCGTCCATTTTTTTAAATCCTTTATTCCTTTCCGATTTTGATATTCTGCAGTGGTCTTTTCGTGGCAGTCTACCTGATAGCTGGCACGGTGGTTATCGTTGTACCATGTACAATGGGCATGCTTACATTGTGTGCCAGGAAGAGGAGAAGAAAGTGCTAATAATCTACCGGTCTACTCATTCTCTCAAGGAAAGTCTTCAGGTGGCATGGACAAGAGTAATCGCCATTGACAACCTACACTTTTGTTTATGCAGGACCTTTTGCATTCATAATGAAAAAATGTACTTAGGAAGTATTAGTGATAGGTATACATGTATCCCCAAGATCTATGTTGTAGATCTACAGGGAAACTGTGGTACTAGAGAAATACAATGTGATTGTATCCCAGCACAAGATACGAGTATGGATACATCCTTCACGTGTTTTGTGGATGTATTTATAACCCAGTCAGCGCTTCTAATAGTATGCTTATGGCGCAATCATTTCTTAGAAGTTATTTCATTAGATACCAGACATGATGGTGCAGTATGGGCAAAATTGGATCCGCTCAGCATGCCGGAGCCGCCGGCCAGCATCTGCAGCACTGACAGTACTCTGTTTGTGATACCAACAGGAGACCGCAATGATGCGCATGTGTCAATCATGAAGTTGGATGTAAGTGAGGAAAGTCTGCGAATGCCATCATGGCTCGAGATCAAAGTGGACGTGCCTAAGACTCTTCATGTATATCTATTCCATCGTGTTGTACCAGCTGCTGTGGGTAACACTATAATGTTACCCGTGCTCTATTGGGATGATGATGATAAATTAGACGATGGTGTGATGTGTGTTGATTGCAGTACATGTATAGGCCGGTGTTCTGTCTTGCCGTCCAGTACATCAAATCCATTAGTTACATTGCAGTTGATGGTGGATGGCGATACGCTTATTGCACTCCATTATGATCACTCAGTGTATACTCTTCAGCTATCTGACCATTTGTAGACACCAGTGATTGATCGGCTTCTACATGCATGTATGCCAAGGCGGTGTACAATGTAGATATTCTGCTGCGGCTAGGTCATGTGATGGACAACTGGTGCACACTGTGTGTTTTTTGTGATCCTGAGTGTTTTCGTTTGCACATGCATACCCTGTTCTGCTGGGGACCCATATGCATGATGTGTTTGGTGTCCAGTTCTTTCAGGCCATCATTCTACATAGGCACTGTCCTGAAATGCTTATTGTCTATGTACATAGTATACATTAGGTTGGAGGAATATTATAATTATATAGAAAGATTATGTATATAGAATGCTGTCCATGGATTGGATATGATGTATTATATAATACATAGAATATTAGTTCTAAAACTAAACAGCTCTCTAC